TCATAATCACAAAAAAAAATTAAAAATTATTCAACCGCACTGGAAAGCCAGAAAATCGGTTTTTCTAGAAAATGCATACAAATTATAATATTTGTTCTACGTGTTACGAAATAATATGCATATTACATGGGTAATAATATTTTACAAATTATCTTCCGCAACATCAAAACAAATGTTTTTTTAAATTTTATAAAATCTAAAACACCCTATGAACATTAATATAAATGCCCCATCCTTTCTAATAAAATGTGCCAAAATATCCGTATGAAATACGTTGTTGTGACACTTGTATTATATCAAAATTAGTTGGTAATATTTGTTATTGTCAGATAGTTTCGTCCACTTGAAAGTATATTATACATTTTCGTTAGGTGCCTACAACGATATTTCCGATTCACATTTTCATATCTGCATATGGCATGAAGTACCCACAAAATATGTTTATCGCTATACTATAAGCTATTAAACTATCAACGAATATAGGTTATTATAAAATCAAAAGTAAGCTCAAAAAAAATTAAAAACTAAAAAAAAAAACAGCAATATCAAAATAATATCGACTATAAACCATTAGCGAATTAATAATAATTAGTTATACAATATTTGTATCTATCATTAAACATGTTAAATCCAAATTGAAAGTTATAAACTATGCAAGTTATTCATCATGTAAGTTAGTTCGTACACGGTAATAATATTATGATAACAACTAACATAATACCAGTTAAAATAATATTTTTGGTATTTTAAATTGTAAGTGCATTTATAAAAAATCTTTAGAACAAAATTGAAAATTCGATAATTGATTTTAATTTTAGTAATAAAGTGGTGGGCACCAAAAATCATAAACCATAAATAGCTACAGTATATGCTGAAAAAAAAATCGTTTAACGCAAAAAAAACACTAATAGATTGAATTTGTAATAATATTAAAATTTTTTTTTTTTTTTTAATGTAAAAAGGGCGAATATTTAAGTCGAGAGTAAGTAAAAAGAGCAAAAGAAAAAAAATCCGCTCACAATTTTATAACTAATATAATGCTGGATATTTATTGGAATAAATTATTTTATTCTCGTTTTAATCTTATTTGCAGGTTTATAATATCATCATACAATTTTAAATTTTTTAACTTGGAAATTGTATAATACCTACATAACGAAATAAACTTCTTTCACCTATAAAAAACTACTTTATCAGCGAGTAACGCGGGCTGCATTTTATTTTTTAAAAAAAATTAGAGATCCCTACGAAAATTGCAATAATTAAGTTTTTAGGTATTTTTGATAAAAAAAAATCTAACTGTTTGTTTTTTTTTTTTTTATTTGTTTATTCATGGGTTACCTTGGTAACATGGATAACAATTTGGTTGTCACGAACAAGAAAATTATTATTATTATTATTATTATTATTACTATTACTACTATTATAGTATTATTTACACTATTATCTAGCAATAATAGCAAAACATTGTCGGGACAGCTAGTAATATATATTATGTATTATAATATGCATAATAATCAATGATAAAATCAACTAAATTGCTAACATATTATATAAACTTTATTGGAGTTACATTTCCCTATAGCAACGAATTATCGTTTCGTCCTCAAATATTATGAACTTTGAACAAACGAATTAAAAATATGAACTCGTTCATTCCGAGATCAATAATAAATAAAAATAATCTCCTAAAAGTGACGACGAATTTCGAAATATTGTAATAAAATATAAAATATTATACTTTGTGTGGAGTGTATACTGTCTATGATACACGTCGGCGAGTGCTTTTAATGTCGTTATAGATAAGTATTTTATTGGAATATGACTACATACCTACCGAAGCTACATACCGATATATTATCCTTCACATTGTATATACAAGTATACAGTTCTTAACCGAATTTTCGAGTTTGTAAGCTTGTTACAAATAAGTGAAAAATAAACGACGCAAATGAAATATTGTATACGATATTATCAACATAAAAACTATAAAAACACTCAATATCTAGGGAAGTATTAACTTTTTCCTGTTTTTTTTTTTTGACAATTTAAAAAACAAGCAGCTCTATAATGTTACATGATCATTATTTTTTTGTGACGAAACGACTAAGTGCCTTTGATTTTCAAACAGCAACCTATATTAAAAATGTCATAAATAGATGTCATTTTAGTTTAAATACATTTTGGTGTTAAGATGTTTAATTTTCGTTAACCCGTAGACGAAATACTCCGTTCAGGGTTGTAAAAAAAAATTAAATTAAATTAAAAAAACAAAACCGAATATTTTTTCATTTTATACATGTTTTTTATTTGATTAAAACATTTCCAATTGTAAATAAAAGTTTACTTTTTAAAAATTGTTTTTGTAACTATCATATTATAAAAATAGATAGTTATAAATAAAATTGTATGATCGTTATTGAAGAACAAAAAAAAATGTATAAAATGTTATTTCTTTAACCAATAAATAGGAACTGTTTATTTCCATTCAGTGTCGTAGCCAGGTATTGGGTATTATAATTCCCCCTTCTCCATTGCTTTAATTTATTAGCTATAAATAAGGTTAAGTAGGTTATATACCCATAAACTCACCCTAGACCCTCTAAAACCGCCCTATTGATAAACCCTGGCTACGCTATTGTTTTCATTTATATTTTAAAAACGAATAGAAATTATATAAATATCTTCACTCTTCAGGACATATTGCCTATTTTAATTTAATCTGTGTATTACGTTATGCTCTTATACGCTATGCTGATCACCCTGTAGACGCGCGGAAGGCCACGATGTCATTTTCTCGCTGAATAAGTGATTACATTATAAATAGGTAATATGGCGCGGTCGTTCGCGATTCCCGCGGATCGTTTCATCCAGAGAATTTCGAGCAAACGGTGAAAAACTTTTTTCTTCGGCATACACAACTCATCTCGCGACACATTGTATTAAATAATCTCATAACAAAAATATATTTATAGGGTGTCGATTATATAGTGCCGAAATAGAAAACGCAATAAAACACATCAATTTTTTTTTTTTTATTGTATTCATATTGAGTAACATTTCCGATGATGTACATGAAAAATACACATGTCAATTATGCCATAATATATACCTACTTATATTATAACAAGGAGGCACGTGGCATTGCAGTATACGGTCGATATCGGTGGGAATTGTTTGGGTCTCTGTCTTAAATTCCAGAATTATTCGGAATTTTGTTCACGTGCACTTACGACTTCATAACCCGGTGCTAATGTACAGTACACAAGAGTGATAGTAATTTAACTGTATTTTAGTAAATTTTTTTTTTTTGGAAATTTGATAAAGACTACCCTAGATTATGCGTAGAACCCGTAACTACTGATCTTTTACAAAAAAAAAAGGTTTCTCAACGATTTTTGGATATATACGCTGGGAATCCCGTCGACAATCCCGCAGCAGCGTCAACGGAGGCGTATAGGTACCAATCCTCAAAGTACTCGTATATTTTATATACTATATAGCATTTGCGTAAGATTTCTGTATAATAATCGATATTCGTACGCGCATGGTATAAGTAGGTACTCTATATCGAAGAAAACTCATTTTTGCAAAGTCGATTTTCTCCTCTAAAAAATATATACATATACGCGCGTTTCGATTTCGACGCATTATTTACACGTTTTTCAGCGATCCCGTGGAGATTTGATTCATACACGTATACACTATGCAGTATACGTAGGTAAAATCTTCAGAGTGTTTACTATAAAATATAATATAATATGGCCATATGGGGAAAATGCTATAGCTATATATTAACAACCTTTCGATCTTTTTTTCGAAATGTGTGTTTTCTCATCGTGTACAATAAGAACGTAGGTGCACAGAAGAAATAACTTACAAATGAAAATAATAATAACTAGAAAATGTGAAATGTCAAATTAATAGCTCAAAAATCGCCAGAATATTTTGAAAATTTTATCGTATTTAAAAAAAAGCTAATATTCTATGCAAAGAATTTCAGGTCTCTACGCAAGACCGTGCCAAGGAGGAGAAAGCAAAAGGGGCCACTTTCTTAGGGCATATAATTTTAGATGTATATCAAGTTTAGTTAGTAAATATGAAGGTTTCCCTAAGGTGCCAATAATAATCGGCACGGTACTGCAGTCTCTACGATTATTTTAAACCAAATTACAATAAAAAAAAACAAAAACTTCTCCCAGTTACTAAGAAAATTACTAGGGAAATCAAAAAATTATCTGATAAAATTTGCTTCCAGAAAATATGCTTTACTTGAAAATCGGAACGAGATTTCTGGCCGAAAATTTGTTTATAGGCAGGAAAAAAATAAATACAAAGTAAAAACAAAATCTAATGGTTTCTATAAACAAGCGGATTGCTGCCTATGCCATAATTATTAAGTACAATGTGTTTTGTAACAACTGTTCTTCCGCCTCGTCTGCATTTGCATTCTGCAATACAAACTACGTCCTCTCTCTCCTCCCCCCCCTCTTCGCGTAATGACGTAACGCGTATTGCTTTCATTATTGTTCAGTATACTATAACGGTTGACCTAAAAAGAATAATATAAATTTGACAGAATTAAAAAGTACCAATGTCCGTCGATAATATACGAGAGTACCACAACCAGCAGTATACGCGCACACGTACGACCGCAATAATTAACGTTACTTATTGTCTAGACTCTAGAGTACTTCATTGTATGACTGTATACTATCACAATAATATCATTAGATAATGTTGTTATTGACTTTTCGGTTTTACGTGCGAAGTATAAGTACTCAATCTCGTGATAACACCGTAATATAACGACCGTTTCGATTATTTGACACCGTCGCGTGTGTCGCTCGATAGAATCACAACGTACGTTATATTATTTTTTTATTACCCATCATCGGATATTATTATCATTAGGCATACTAAACAGCGAGCGATCGTATTCCAGTATAATATAAAATATACGATCTGACTTCACGCCGAAGATCCGCAGCTATATGTCCATGTCCGACATGTTGTTAATATTAAGAATCGCCGAATTGGTAAGTGTATAACAGGTATGATTACCTAACCTAACCTAACCTTACATTCCCTACAAACCTTATTCGCTCATAAATTCGTGGACGCCACCATATCGCGTATTATACATTTTCTCCGAATTTCCGTGATTTTTCCCACCAAATCGGACTGTTATACAATTTTTTGAAAAATATGACTTAGTTCCCCCTCGCCCTCCCCCTTCAACAAGTCTCTGGAACCGCCCTTTGAAGGAACTAGATAACACAATAGTCATAGACGCAACTACTGGAGGTGCTTGGGGGAACTGAAAGTCCCGTAAGCTCTAATTCAGTACGCCTAATCCTAATTCAGCACCCTCAGTTCTAAAACCCAAAAAAAGTTTAATAATGAGAAGTTTTTTTTGAACCACGGAAAAAATAACCAAGACAAAAACTCACCGGAAAAAAAATCCAATGGAAAAAAAACCCAAAGAAAAAAAATGTTCCCAGGTGAAAAAGCCCAAAATGTGGTAGGTAGTGTTTTTCTTTTAAACAAAATATATTTTAAAACAAAAGCATTTCCACTGGGAATTTCCAATTCTAAATTATTTTATCCATGTGCCTGCCAAAATATTGGTATTATTGTTATAACATATTATGAATATTAATATGATATTCCAATAAATTGACAAATATAAATAAACATATGTGTAATATTTTGGACGATGTAAAAACTTTATAAATATTGCAGGGTACTACCCTACAATAAAAAATATCTATTACTATAAACAATAAATTATCAATAGTCAGTCAATTTATCGTTATAGTAACCATTCAATCTTTAACTAACAATTTTAAAATATTACATTATAGTACAATATTACTTTATCAACAACATATTTATATATACGTATTTACATTTACGATTTTATGGCTACATACTCACATGGGCTTTTTTCTTTGGGTTTTTTTTTCCGTCTACCGTTTCTTTATTTTTAATGTATGTTCTGTTTTATTTGACGTTTTTATCAAACAGTTTAATGGTTCATGAATCATTGTGGTTATTATACGAGATCTCAATACCTCAGCTCCACATACATTGACATCCAATTCTTAGTCGTAACTAGAAAGCAGATTTTTAGGTTTTTACATTTTTGCTTTATGCAGTACAACGAGGATAAAAAATGTGGACGATCTATCTATTTACAGAGTACATGGAAAAAAATTTATTTTGCATATTTTGGAGATTAGAGAATATTCAGCCCATTTTTCATTATTTAGAATATATTGTATTATTTTTCATAAGAAAATATCATATATTTAATTCTTTTCTCGAGTTGTGATATTTTCATGGTAGGAAAAAATGATTATTATTTGTTTGATTGAAAATCGTTCAATTTCTGGTTTGTTAGTCAAATTGGTAATGTTAGTCACTCTATTTCTCCCGGATCGTAAACAAAATCATTAAGGAATTTTGGCGAATGATAATATCTAGTATCTATGAATTATGATTATATGTGACCAAATGTTTTAAAATGATAAAAACGATTGAATTGACCATTAAGGTTGTTTAGTTTTTATTTTAATTTTGTTGTATTCAATTATATTCTTGAAAATTCTGAAACATAACAATAATATTGTGAAACATATTATCTTTTAAATACAACTGAGTTTAAATAATTTACCAAAGAAATGAAACAAGTAAATACATATTTTGAAGTTGATTATCAAGTTCAAGTACCTATATCATTATAACACGAGTTGCAATATTAATAGTAAATGTAAATATTATAAAATTTTATGTAAGTATATATACAAATATAGAATACATATTTCTTATTGTAACTTATTTATAATTCTATAAATTATTTTAAATAAAAAAAAATCATATTTTTATGTTTAAGAAATATTAAGAGAATATTTTAAGGTTTTTTTTGGAGCATATTAGCGTCATATTTTAAACTTTTAAGAACCTAAATATCCGCTCTCTAGTCATGACAAATAATTGACGTTAATTCTGTGAGTATTATTTCTATCATAATACTGTAACATTAGGTACGAATATTTGGTATGTTCATTCTTTCCCCGAGGAGTCCATGGATTTTAGAACCGATTTACGTATTTTATTTTACAAAACATAATTTTAAGAAGAAAACTTCCTTAAATGTTTCTAAGTTATTACAAGTTGGTTGTCGTCAATGTGCCAAAATTGGCTAAAGACAAACGATCCTAATATAGAGTAAAGGCCACTTTGTATATGGTGGATGGTTTTACGTGATACCAGTATGCATAGATAAGTATACTAAGTACTGCCAATACGTTTAATGTTAGCTATCTAGTATTAAATATCTATCGTTTATAATAGTATGATAAGTGTACTCATACATGATTGGAAAATAGTGTTTACAGACAGATAACATAATAAAATAAAATTGGCTGTCGATATTATCAGCTGATATTTTTGTTATTCTATGGAATAAGAATTTCGATAAAAGTTAATTAAAATTAATTAACTATCTGAAATATCCTCCGGTTCATTAATACGAAATAATTACCCCGTATAGAGCATATTATTATCTAACTTTTAGAACTTTTTTTTTTTATTATATTTAATGCGAATAATATTATCTTGACGAGCGTTTATTAATAAACCTCCCAAAATTCTTCGGCGAAGACTGGAAATCGATAAACTTCGGACTCGAAAGGCGAACGTCATGTGGATTCATTCCGTTTGGGTTTTGCGATACTCAATATATTTTTATATTATTAATAAAATATATTTTGTTGTGTCCACCTGGTTAAGTGATGATAGAAATTTACCTTTTTGTTCAGCTAGAATTAAATGTGGTGCCGCTGTGCGACGCAGCCTATTTTACTAAATTTATTATAATTCCAAAATTTGCATGCACAAATTCCTAGACTATTCCCGGGTGTTTTTCCTGAGTTTATTCAGGTTTTCCTGGTTTCCAGGAGCGGCGACAAACATGAATTGATAATATTTTATAGTTATATACAGTTGCATTATTAATTTCAAGACCAAACTTGGGTGTGCAAAAGCTGTGACGGACACCGCGGCCGCGCCGAACGCCCAGATTTTAATAATTTATAGAAATAGCCTATTGTTGTATTGATTTCGCAATGTTGTCGCTCGTATAGCAATGTTGTACACAGTTGTAGTATAGTTATACTAAACCCGAAATAAAAACAAGACGATGAAAAACGATTCAAAGAGAAATATTATATTAGGTAGATATTGTTATTCGATTCTATGAAATATTGTGACGCGTGGGTAGCTGTCGTTATTTTTGTGTGCGAATGAAAATACACAACAAAAAATTAAGTTATTCCATTTTGAAATGACATCAAATTGGACCGTCATTAGCTGCGCTATTCATGGAATCGGAATATTGCAGTTATTCGCAACGTTTTTTGATTTATTTATTTATTCCAATATTATAGCCACCATTTACTGAATTGTACGCAGCTAGTAGCTACGTACTTCTTTTTTTATCGGATGAACTCAAACATTAAACTATCTAAACAATTAAAATATCTATACTCTCCCGATTTTCAACAACGTTTAAATATAAAATTGTAATATATAAATAAGTACCTTATAGATAAGTACTTATAATTGTATAGTATGTATCCGAAAAAAAAAATTACCGCCTACAGACGCGCATCAGATTCAAGTGAAAAATAATCTCCGTCGTGACTACATGACGTACCCCACATCCCCACCTACTACTACTACTACTACTATTCGCTACTTATACTGACGAGTGAAAATTCTTAGAACAATATAATATTTTGGTTTTTGATTACTGGTAGTTCAACGCTTTAGATCGGTTTTTGTATTAATCCTCCCGAATGCAAAAGGTAATATTATGTACGTGTTGTCACCACGAATCGTAATCACCAATAAAGTGAAACCAATACGGTACTTACATAAAAATAATTGTACTATAGTTTTATGATGTTTGGGTATTTGACACCAGCCTAATTTGTACATTTACGTTGTCGAATAAAAAAAAAATAAATAATGGGGACGGGTGCAACCACTGGTGTAGATGCGAAGTTGGGAAGGTAGGATACAGATAGGAACTTAATATATATCTGTAAATAACGATAAACAATTGCTAATGAAAAAACGATTCAGAGCGAAGTTCAATTGATAGTAATGCTTTGTCAACAATATATATGTCATTTTGTAGTAAAATAATTAAATAGGCTTTATATATATTTTTTAGTACAATTTATTTAATGTTGTACCAATTTCACCTGTTCAACACAACGACGTTATGATATCAAAAAATATAGAAAACTATTGAATTTTGTCTAATATAATTAAACACCTACGCAATTGATTATTTTTTCGTTTCAATTATATTCTCAGTTCTCTGGCAACATCATTATCGTTCACTGCAAAACAAATATAATTACTCATAAAATAATTAATTTTTCTCGAAGATGTCCCCTCACTTACATTACATTTTCAAATTAAAAACATTAAAAATTATTATTACTAGTATTATTAATTTTTAGTTATTAGTTAATTTGTAAGCGGTTTTGAATTTCGAGTTTTAACCAAGGGCGATCGTTTGTATACTACGTTTGTGATAATTTGTGCCAGAGTTCCTGTTTTGTGCAACAACCCCTAATATTATCTATTGATATAACTTGGTGTGAAGAATTTTTAATTGAATTTAAACATTCATACCATCTCATTTCATATTTTGAACTCAAACCGCTGTTTTCGGTCTTTAAAAATAAATGTATGTTCCTATTTCGTACACAAGGGGTAAAATCGGTACAGGCCAGGAAGCATATCGGCATTTTATACTCATAGTAGCTTTCTAACTAACGGGTCTAAACCTAAGATAAAACTATAACAGATTATGAGCTGGAAAAAATGATTTAAAATTTAGAATGTCAGGAACCAATTTATAGATGATTTTTAAATGATATTGAGAAAAATGGTTTATAACTTGATGATAAGAAATAAGAATCCTTCCATTTATAAAAAAAAACTTTAACTAATAGGTGTACATAAAGACATAAATATAATAAGTAAAACTGTCTGAAAATTACGCGTTTATTATAGATAATATAATGCTTTATAAAAATGTGTTTCTAAAAAGTTTGATGTAGGGGCGCATACAAATCTGAATTCTTAAGATAAGAAAATAACGGTGAGGGGTAGTTTTCAGAAAGACCCCTATAGCGGCCATTTATTTCACAAGACGGATTAATATACATAAGTAATAGTAATTTATGAACTTAATATCATAATGTAATTAAAATTTTCACTGAACTACATGAATACCTATATTATAATATTTTGAATAAGCAGTGGCGTAGCGAGGGAGAGAGTTTTGGTGTTCAAACACCCCCCTTTAACCATATTTATGTCGAAAATTATAGTTTACATACAGGGTGATTTTTTTTTATCATGAACCAGCAGTTATCTCAGAGAATTTTAAGTGAATTAAATTTCTGTTTATTCTAATAACTATGGAATTGTTTAAGCTTTATTTTAAAACCATTTTTAATTTTTTACCCCTACTTCATAGATAGGCAATTTATTAATCTTCCCTACTCCTGTTTAAATTGTAAACTGTTATAACTCATAAACGGTAAATCTGATATTAGGTGTGATGCATATCAAAATTTCTAGATAAATATTCTCTATTCAAATATGTGTTCAAAAGTGGGGGTTCCTATTTGAAAACCAAAAGTATGCACTTATCAAAGGAATATGGAGAAGGGGTAAAAAATTTAAAGAGTACTGATACTGGGTACGGGAGCAACCACTGTTGTAGGGGGGAAGTTGAGAAGGTAGGATACATAAGGTTATTTCATTTACACCTGTAAGCAAATATCGTTGCTTAACGAAAGACGATTCCCGGCGCAGTTCAGTTTGAAATTTGAAGTGCCATAATTTTTTTTGCGATTTTCATTTAAATTTGATTTCAAAACGCTTAATAAAAAAAAGGCGTTCGATGATTTTGGAAATTTTACCACATCTAGGTAAGTCCAGTTTAAGTACTATTACCAAATTTCAAGTCCTTACGTGTATTTATAACCGAATTGCAGCAAAAAAATCTCCCAAAAATTAAAATTCCTTAAAAGCTCAAAAGTTTTGGCAATGATTCCGTAAATCAAAAAGACAACAAAGAAGATTTCTAGTGGTTTTTCGATTAAATAATATAAGCATACAACAATTAAGATGAATAACATTGGTTTTCTTTTTACAATGTTTCAGTCTCATTATTCGTAGTCTTTCTTAGTTCTTATTATAAAAAAAGTAAGAATTTTATAATAAATAATAATGTTTTTAATGAAAAACCTACCTACACAGTTATAAACTATTTAGATATCTACTATTATAGCGTAAATATTTACAGAATCATTGTTTTATTGTTTTGTATAAAACTAATGTTTTAAATATATTACTATGAAACTTTTCTTAAAATACTCGATTATAATGTTATGTTTCTATTCAATCAACGAATCATATAATTATCATTTATATATAATTAATATTTTAAGTTTAAAAATTAATATTAATAGGTATAAGATTATTTAATGTTTGAGTATAAATTATTTTTAGAATAATTTAAATGTATTAAAATTTATGCGCAAGTGATAATTAATTTAAATATTAGATAAATGTTAAGTAAAGATAAAACCTACCTATAGTGACTTTTCACAGTTCAGGATAAAATATACAAATGCATAATTAAATAACTTATTTAACTAATAAGTTATATACTTTATATAATAAATTATGGCACACTTTTTAGTTTTAAAAATATTCATTTTTCCACTGGCGATAAAATTTAAAACATCATTTAAATGATAATTTTACTATTTTTTAAAATTATAAATCTAAATTTATACAGAGTAGTTCACCAATCACGGCAATTTGTTTTTGTTAAATATAATGAAATATTGAACGAATATAAGTAGTTCAATAATTTATAAGCGTTTAAAGTTTAAAGAATGAGGCGATTTATTGAGTAAGTATAAAATGTCTATAACATTAAAATGTATGGTTTTTAATCATTTTTTTACTAACACATTTAACCTATTTAAACTTGAAACTTAACCCCACGTGACTCTTCTCCTGTTCTGCTTATGTTGGTTTTTTTTTAGCCTTGTTGATCGGAGGCACTGGCTAACTTTATCTTCGTTTCCGAACTCCAAAATCAAATTGATTCACCTTCCAAACTTAAGTCGCAGAAATTAATTTCCATATTCCTTTGCGCCATACTTATTAGTTCCCTTCTACGTCCTTCATATTCCTTCAGACATCATTCTTAATACCCCTCCCTCGTTCATCTAATCTTGACCTCGTTTTTTCTTTAAATTATCTTTTATCATTGTTATTTTGTGTTTTACTGTACATACTATTGTCTACCAACTTGTAATTCGAATTCGTCCGTTATTTTGAAAAATAAATAAATATTACAACTATTTGTACAATAATTTATAAAACTATAGGTACCTCCTTTCAGATAAATTAATATAAAAAAGTATTGTCTACACTCACCACATTATAAACAATATATCGTATTTATATGTTTAACTTACACGGCTATAATACCTATAAAAACCTTCATACATTATTAAATACGTATCATTTATATTCTGTAAGTATACAAAGGTCAATGGCATACAAAGGAATAAAGACCTGTAAAAAAGCACTCCCGTTATATAATAACCAAAAATAATATCTAATTTCGGTAAAATTATAATGTTTATATACAATATACACGCAATGATTGTCCTCTTATCAAGAATATATATATATATATATAAGTATACGAATAACTTACTCACAACTTCTTAGCCAATTCTTTTTTATTATTATTATTATTATTATTCTATATGTACGACTATACAGTATATATAATATATACTATACATGCCATAATAGCATTCCATTCAATATGCATAACATATTGTGTATCCACTTATGTAATATGAGTAGGTGCTTGTCGAAATAATATAATTTTCTAATATTAAAATATTTACAATAAGTTACCTATGATAATTAATTCTAACATAATATTAATTTTGGGGATAAAACGATCAGAAACTATACAGGTAATATAATATCGTAAAACCTACACAACTATTATTTCGGATATTATAATATCATTTTTTTTTTCAAGTTTTTTTACAATATTTGTTAAATATATGTAGTATTATGTACGTAAAATATGAATTATGCTTCCTACAAACATACATACTATACAACGAAACAACTGCATATTTCATTCAGGGACAAATCAAATTCATATTTTGCATATTTTACATATTTTCGAATTCGGCAGTTTAAATGCATGTATATTTTTAAATATCATGTGTTGTTATCAATATATTTATATGCAGTATTCAAATATTCAATACACCTACGGGAGTCTCATACCTAGCGATAAAAAAAAAATATAAAAAACTTTTATTAATGTGCATCGTTCAAACTGTTGTGTTTTACCATTACTGTATATCATATACTGTATAGTTGCTTATATAAAAACACGAAGACAAGTAAAGGTGCAGGTACTCATCGTACATAAAGAGTTATGACACATTGACACGTGTTATTTATTTAGCTTGCTAAATAGAAACAATATGATGGTAGATAAAGTTAATTTCGACTTATTTGAAATTGATAAATTGTTCTTGTGTAAGTACGTAGAGGTATCTATATATAATATACTTTACATCTTATTAAAATATTTTACGCGCTTCACAGAGAAAAATAACGTTACAAAAATTAAATTATTACATCGGTGGATACTAAAACCATCTATAGGTCAGGGGCGTAGGTAATAAGGGAGGGGGGAACTCCCCCCACCATTTCCAAAATCCCAATTAGTAAATAAATAGGTATTAATAAAAATAATATACATAAATTGTATATTACAGTTAAATTTCCCAAATACCTATTTATATTTTCAAAAAATTAACACCTTTTGATATCATATAGGTATTCAAAAAGGTTACATTATCCTTATTTTTTTACCCTGAATTTCGGAACCACTTCCCACTTTTGATTTTCAAAATAGCAACCTATATTAAAAATTCTATAAAAATATGAAGTTTTAGTTTAAATAAATTTGGTGTTCAAATTGTTTATTTACGTCAGCCCGTTGACTATTTATTGAATCTTAAAATTTGGTAGGGGAAGAGTGGCATTTGAATATTTCTCCATCACGTGAGGAATTTACCCCCAAAATCTAAAAACAATCAGGATAGTGCAACATTTTAGAATATATCTCTTATTCAAAAAAAATGTTAACACAAGTCATTTTTCGAAGAAACAAGTATTTCATTGAAAATTTGACCGTAATATGAAATTTGGGAGATTCTGTATACTATACATCTACTATATATTGTTCGTTTAACTTTCAGCTAATTCCAATTGTGATTTCCATTTGGATGGTTGGATTACGAAGTAAAAACCTTATAGATTTTATCAAGTTGATACAAGTGCAAACAAAAGAGTCGCATAGTGTTTTCAAACTTATTTTCACTCAAGTTTCCGTATATGTGAGTTTATTTTTCACCGTGCTGGTCCTTTGTGGTGTACTGATAAAAGATCAAATGCCTAAAACATTGGTAAGTTAAAAAACACGATTTAAATCTATTTTAATTAATTATAATACGTAATTGAAATAATGTCCTAGCTGTTGCGTTATAGTAGACAACTTTACAAGTTTTGTAATAAAAAAAATTTAAAACAAAAATAAATCACATTTTTCCCAAATGATAACTTTTATATTTTTTTATGGTATAAAAATGTTGGTTGTATATTGTAAAATGAGACAATATTAAAACAGTAATTTTATCATCCTATAACAATCCTATATTAACATATAACTCACCCTACCGCAGCATAAAATATAATATAGGTACCTATTAGATATTATTCTAAACATGAAAAATCCTTGAACGCGATAATCATATAGTTTGCATACTTGCATACCTACTATTAACATATATTTCTTTGTTATCTGTATTCAAAGTGTTCAAATAAATTTGAGACCAAACCTTCCAATTCAGACGGAACAGTACCGAGTTTTTAATGGGCGTCCCCACTAAACTTTTAAGTCTAATCGAGACTATAAAATGTACCGATTTTCATTAAACGTTCCAATTTTTTTCCCCAATTTCATAGTTGAAATTTATATTGTACATTAATATAAAGTGTATGAAAACGTCCAATTATATTAATATACAGTGTTTTTAACGTTCCTTTTAAAAAGGAATTTGTTCCCATTCCTCGTTCCTTATTTAAACGTTCCTTTATGAATATCTTATGCAGTCCAAAATAATTTTTATACTTTTATTTTGAAAATATTATTAACTAATTTGTTTTTAAATATTAAGTCGTATGTCATCAAAAAATCGGTTGGAAATGTCTTATCTATTAGATTTAAAACTTGAATTTTTCTCCCCAAGTGTGTTTTAGAATACATTTAAAAGAAGAAAAAGAGATAAACAATATTTACGTTTCTATTTCTTTAAATAATAATGGAATTCCTTTATTCGTTCCTCTAAAAAAGAATCAATTCCGGGAATCACTCCTTTAAAAACGCCTTCCTTAACAACACTGTTAATATATTATCGAACTATCTGAATTTATTACACGACTGAAATATAATGCATTTATCCCTTATCAGTTATCAATTATCATTTTAGATTCCGAACGTAGCATGAGAGCTATTGGTTTTTCTAAGATGCTTATTTTATTCTTTTTTCTAGTCTGTGGACATGTTTTTTCCTAGTAAACTTACTTCAATGTATAAGTGCAGCACCTTTTCTGAAAGCTCAAGTTGTCTAAATAGTACTTTAGAGATGTCATTTTTCGATTTTCGACTCCATTTTTTAAATAAAAGCACTTAAGTGGGAAAACGTACAATTTCATGACTTCATTATTTTATAAAAACACGGACGACGTTTTCTACTAGAAAAACTGATTTTATCGAAAAATCACAAGATGCCTTTTATGTTGCCTTTTTGATTTACAGAATCATCGCCAAAACTTTTGAGCCACTTATGAGCTGTTAAGAAATTTTAATTTTTAGGAGTTGCTGTTTTATAAATACAATTTTAAGAGACTTAAAACTTATATTAGACTTACCTAAACGTGGTAATATTTCCAAAAACATCGGACGACTTTTTTTGTTTTTATAAACGTTTTGAAATCAAATTTAAACAAAAATTGCAAAAAAAATATGACAATTCAAATTATGTATTACCGAACTACGCTGGAAATCGTTTTTCGTCAGCTATCGTTGCTTACAGATATAAATGAAATATCATATATATCCTACCTTCCCAACTTCCCACCTACAACAGTGGCTGCACCCGTCCCCAGTATCAGCTCTTTTTGTATTTTAGATTCTGAGTGGAGTGAAGAAGCTTATAGTTTCACAAAAATGTTTATTTATTTTTTTATCTGTGCGTAACTTTTCTACCAGAACACTTGCTCGGATTTCTACATATAGCACTTTTTATGAAAGGAAATCGACATGGAGATGTACTTTAGGGAAGTAATTTTCTCATCAAAATTGATAAACCAAAAAAAAAAAAAAAAAACGGGAAACATACGAAATACATTTGTATAATACTTGTATTACGATATTTTATTTGTGCACGACTTTCCTACCAGCAATTTTACTTCAACTTTTAATAATAGCAATATCTCTAAAAGGAAATTTCACTAGCGAGGTACTTAAAAGGATGTCATTTTTCGATTTTTCCAATAGTTTTTCTAGCAAATGTGAAAAATCGGGATAAACCATGGGAAAACTGGAAAAAACGGTACAACATTAAACAAATTTTATTAAAGAAAATATATAAAGCCTATTTAATTATTTTACTATAAAATGGCATATATATTGTTGACAAAGCATCACTATCTACTGAACTCTGCTCAGAATTGTTTTTTTGTCAACAATGGTTTATCGTTGATTACAGATATACATTAAATTCCTGTCTGTATTCTACCTTCCCAACTTCCCACCTACATTAGTGGCTCCACCCGCCCCCATCATCTTACCTTATTTTTTTAACCGCAAACATTTAGACAATTATCTGTTTATTACAACTGTTTAATATTTTGTAAAAAGACAAAATAAAAAGGTTAAAAATTATGCACTTATTTTAAGATCCCAAATTTATTTTTGTACAACTATTATTATAGTTAAGTTTATTTAAAATAACATTATCCGGTTCTCATCATAGTTTTCTCCCTACGCCGTTTTCTGATGACCTCATACGACTTCCGTTTTGACTTACGTAGCCGAGCTTTGTTGATCACAGGCATGTTATTTAGATGGCTTTCGGGACTAATAAGCTAATAAGATGATCCTTCCCAAAGTTGTTTACTAACGCTAAGACGTATTTATGTCCCGCTTTGACCAACAACATAATATCTGGTCACATTATCAAATTATATAACATATTGTCCGCTATAATGTTTTAACCAGTGCTTGAATTGGAAAAAATAAAATAATTAATACTATGATATTTAATAAAAAGTAGCATCCTTTGTAATAATTGAATTCAGCCGATAATTCAGAACATAAGAAGCGGCACGTTCAAATATTTTAAGAAAAGAATTGGCATTCCGTCCCCTCCCACTCAACCCAATTCAAGCACTGATTTTAACACAATTGGAAATCTGCGGTAATATAATTTCATATTTTGTTCATACGACTGGCAATCGAGGCGTGATTTATTTGTCGACTAAGTTTTCACATGCGTGTGTAAAATATAATGGGTACTATTGGGTAGGGCTATTGATTTTTTAAATATCAGAACGGCGATCAGCTAAATCCATACTCGATAATAGAAATTAGGAGAGCAAATTTTATTTGTTCGTGATGTATATTAAATTATATATAGGCTATATAGCTGATTAGTAATTCGTTTTGTAGAACATAATGACCCGTAAGATTTCATAAAGCTTAAGGCAGTGGTTCTTAAAGTGTGCGACAAAGTGTGAGTCTGGTTAGGTTACAGTGTCTGTATAAGAGCGCTACGTCACTATTTTGAATGCTAACTGGTCTAAAAATAAATTTAAAACCCAAATGACAGTGGAAACGGTGAGGCTGACGTCCTTTTTTTCCTCGGAAAACGCTTTTTCGGCTAGTAAAAATGCTCAATATTATTCGCACTGTACTTTAAAAGACGCGAACGCCCAATATAGTAATTAATTTAAACAAAAAACATCTAGATTACCCTCTTCACATTTTCTCTAAAATTAAGAAAACATAACTGACAACGATTGTTGTTTAATCGGTTTTATTTGCGTTAGTTATACAAAGGGAAAAACACCGCGACTAATAATACTCCAATCCAAATAGATTTTTATTGCAATGTATTGCAAGAACGCCCTGAGAAAACCTTAGTTCAAAATGAGAGCCACGGCCCATAAATCGAAAAAGTTTGAGAAGCCCCAGTAATAATACCTCAGTTACCATTGCGTTCGCTCGTTCTAGGATAAACACGTAAATAGGTAATTTTTAAATAATTACGTAGGTACTATATGGTTTTATTCATTTAAAAATGAAACAAAAAGGCCCCAGTACAGCTTAAACGCCTTACACCTTATTTGGTATTAAAACCATAGAGTTAATTTAAAAGTTAATAACAACATAGGTACCTACTTTAACACATTGCCAGTAAGTAAAGTTTACAGATCCTAATTATTTAAAATTTATAGAAAATTTAGGCAATTTATTATTATCAATATGAATTTAAATGATTACATTATTGGAAATTAAAATGTATTTTATTATAATATACATACATATTTATTTTACCGTGCTGTTTTACAGATAATCATAGGTTCTGCAGTACAAGTAATTTTAAGCATTACGTCTTCGTATTTCCTGTTCGTATTTTATAAAGATATAGGCAAATATAATTTAATACTTTGTTCGTCGGCATTTGCAATGAACGGATTATTGTTCACGATTGATGCTATTATCATGTTTCAACAAATCATATTTTCACGTCCACGATAATAATCCATTTAAACTGAACATTTTGTTTTCCTACATTTGTATTAATGTAATTTTACCAAATCGAAATGAAAATGTGAAATAGGTGTGTATTAACTATATTATTATAAAACTTTTGTTTTTTAATTTTTAATAGCTTTTAAACATTGATATAAATATGTATATACCTGCCTGCCTACTTATTATATTTATAAATTAGTTACCTACCTATCAAATCAATTATTTGATGATTACACACACACACACATACACATATATATATATATATATACATTAGTATATAATCGCAATTGAATTTATTACAAATTAATGTAAAATGTTCTTTAAACTTCTTCTTATTTAAGTAAATATTAAAAATTGTTTGAAATTTAAATGAAATAATTATTTATAAATTTATCTGTAATAATGAAATCAAGTGTATGTACTTACTTTGTTCGTGAAAAATAAAAAATATACACAGATACTTAATCATAAATTATTATTTTTAGCTTATTATATGTAATTGATTTATGTACCTTCCTATACAGAAGTTGTTTAAATAGTGTACCTATAATTGATATATTATAATAATTATATACCTATAATTATGGTGACTAGATATAAAAATCCAAAAAAAAGTAAATTTTAAAATTTACGTCCTCTATTGTAAAGAAAACTACTCACTTGAGATAATTGGCTAATGTGTATTGTTTGTACTATTCTAGCCATTTTGCCCACAGCTTATCTCCATCTATATCAGTGGTTTTCAACCTTTTTAACAATGTAGCACACTTATTCTCCTACAAAATTTTCGCGGCACACCAATTCACATAATACGTGAAGCATATATTTGTTTGCGTATACTATGCGTATAAATACCAAAAGTTGTGCTTGTCCACTTGTGTCAGTTGACTCGTCTACTTTTTTAATGCAAATAATGGAGAGTCACGGGATTGTTGCAATACTTGTTCTTCAGTATCTTCAGACATGCGTTCTATATGTCTACTAATGGTGTTGTCAGATATTGGAATTTTTAATACTTCTTTTTCAGCTTCTTCAAAAAAGAACTTTTACGATTTTACGGCAAGCCGGTAAAATAAGTTTTTCTACTATAGTATGTGGTTTCATTTGTTTAGCTACCAGCTCTGCTACTAGATAACTAGCTTCTTGAGTTTTATCAGATATGGTCACTATTTTTGTCATTTTTTCAGATTGTCGTGTTTCTGATTTTAGTAAACGTTGAAAATATGAAGCATTTTTATCAACCAAATGAGAATGCTTGGTGGAAAAATGGCGTTTTAGTTTACTCGAAACCATTGATTCATTTGATAGTTTATCGCCACATACAAGACACCATGGACGAGGATCGTCTACATTTCCGGACCAAGAAAGTCCTATGTTTAAATAATCTTCATGATATTGACGTCTTATATTTAATTTAATTTTCTTCTTTGGTTTTTCACTCACTGAAGTGCTGTCAGTTGAACAAATTATAAATGCATCCATTAAAAAAAAAAAAATTAGGTATTATTTAAAATATACCATGTAGGAAAAAAGTCATTAAAAACACGATATTCCGCGACGCGAACGTTAAACGATCGAGACGGCTGCGACGGGCAAACTAATATAAAATATTATTATAGTATTATACGTATCTACGATTAATGATTGGTCTGCCTTTATATCTGTTAGTAATCAGTTTTCATCGAATATTGATAATAATATTGGTAAATACAAAATTTACTCTATTAATAGATTTATCTTATCGCGGCACACTTCAAGGGCGCAGCACACCGGTTGAAAACCACTGATCTATATACATTTTTTTTTTTTATTATTATATTTTCTATTATCAACTATGAAAACTAATTATTTAAAACCATAATGTCAACTCATTTGATTTGTCTCTTTACGATGAAAATATTTTGAAATTTAAGTAATTTTAAGTCAACTTAAAGTACACAGCCTAAAGTATACATTTTTAAAGGTAAACATTTAAATAAATACAAAACTTTATTAATACATATATTTATATTTATTTATGATTTTCAAAAAAAAAAAAAAAAAAGAGTACAATTTCATGTAGTTAACACTATTTTTAAGGACATAGGGCAATACATCAAAAAAGATCATATTATAGGTTTGGTCACATCCTATTATACTTCATTGTTAGTGCATAGGTGCCTACTGTAATACAAATATAAATATTAAAAATAGATATTTACATGTGTATGACTGATTAATGTTTATTATTGATAAAATTTTAATAATTTTATTGTCACGTTTAATTCAGTTTATGTAATTATGTTTTATTATAAAATTTATTTCTTCTTTTATTAAATTATTCTATAAAACAAAATTATGATTTTATTTGCATTTTTTTGATTTGATACCGATGCCGATGCATTTGATGCATTTGATGCCGTTACTGACGGCAGTAAGTAGTAGGGAAGTATTGTGAAAACAGTTCCATCACTGTTGTTGGTTCAAATACGAAAAAAAAAAAATCAATCAATATTTTAAATATTTATAAACATTTAATAATTATTTTAAAATTGTAAGTTCTGATATCGAAACTAATGTTAAACCAACTAGTTGTAATTATAAATCTTGTATATAATTTATTATAAGAAAGCATCTATCATAATTAAAATCATTTTTTTTTTTTAAATGTCCACTAATTATAGCTAAATTACTAATAATATTATCATTAATAAGTTCTACTTTCTTTTTTCACACAACGTAAGTATAAATACTTCTAAATTAAGTTGACTTATAGAATCTATTTAATATAAACTTTAAGGTAGAAAAACTTCTTTTACAGGTTATTAGTGAAGAAGATAAACTTAAAATAATCTTATAATGTAAGTAAAATTATTTATCATAAGATTTTGAATAAAGATTATAGGTAAGTAAAATATTAAATGCACATATCATACAATTTTTACAACTACAAATACTAGTTAAACAACCTTTTTCTTTATTTTAATCATCATTTTCAATATCTGAATCGTTATCACTTTCCTAAACAAAAAGTAATTCACAAAGATATAAATATATATTTTTAAAGCCAATAAATAAATAATATAATTATCTAAAAATAGAAAAAGTTATTACATTAGTTGTAAAATAGTCCTGTTATAACATCATCATCACCATAAATTACATATATTTCTTGGTTTATGAATTGATTGTATACTACGTTGAGTTGGATCTGAAAAATATAATAGTTATAATAATTATTATATTATAACATGTAAAAAGGTTTGTAAAATATAATATAATTAATAAAAGTACATATAATGTAAATATCAGAAAATTATAACGGCGGGAGTTGTGAATAGTATGGAAAATGAAAAACTACAACAAATTTGAACTCCCGCAATGTAATTGTAATTGTATGCAAAATATAAATAGTAGATACGTGTTGTAAAAGTAACAAAATTTAAATAAATAAGTTTAAATTTTTAAATACTTTAATGTGTTAAATGTTTGTTTCATGAATATTATATTATACTTAACTAGCTTTATTTGCATTTCCTTGCTTATGCAAGAAAAATCTTATAGACTATTCTTTCAACACCCCAAATCATAGGCGGCCGGTTTTGAAAATGTCAATGGGGGGGCCAACTTACTACTATTTAGCCTTAACCTTTGCCCTTCAAAATAATTTAAATATGCGGTTAAAGAATAGAAAGACACAAAAAAAGGACTACTTATGTCCAAATTTTTAACTGTCTTCTATTAATTTTTTTTTTGTAATAAACAATTATATGACAAGGGAAAGCTCAACATTTTTCATTGATAACTGTTCCCCCTCAGATTTTTGTCACTTAAAGTTCTAGTTTAAACTGATTCAAATATGTAAAGTATAATAAAATAAATACTACCTATAATATAACAAGAAATAAATTTAAAATATTTATTAGGATTTTACTGTGTCTACTTCTAAAAAATTTCTTTTGTTTGTCCATAGGTTATCCATATGGGTGAAGACAAGTTCAATAAATACATTATTAAACAACACATAAACAGAATTTACTGTGTAGATTCAAATACCTAGAGAATATTTTTCTAAAATTTTAATATACCCAATACTAATATTTGATAAACCATTTAACATTTAACAGTATAAAATGATATAGATTGAAAGAGTTAGAAGGCTAATAAACATCATATCTCTATAGGGGAGGGTTCCCTAATAGCCAGCTCCCATTTTAGACAAACTAAATTATGTAGAACTGGAAATTAATGGATCGGCAGAATGCAGAGTCTAGTCTAAATAAACATAAGGTACAACTGTGTTTGCTGCTACTATCTATTAAGAAATTCTACAAACTTATAAAATAAACAATTCTAACCCATAAGAAAAGCCTGCTGCACACGACAATTGTTTTGGTGTGGATCGCCTGCTTAGTGATGATGCTGTGATTGGTCCACTGTGAGAATGCCTGCTGGATTTCGTGATAGAACAGGTTCCATTTCTTCGCTCGATTCCTTGATAGATTTGAGTGTGGGGCAATCAGAAAATAACATCTTGTCATATGGCGATTTTAGTCTAGGTATAAATTGGATGAAAAATGACAATACATTTATAAAAGTTATTATAACATAGGTACTTCGTACTTGATACTATGGGCAAGCCACTGTCATAAGTAGTATCTTAATTCAACCAGAAAAATTAATATAATACTAGAGTATTACATGTTGATTCTTGAACTCGTTTGACTGTTTGACACACAAGACAAAACCATACTGTAAAATTAGAAATACACTTAAAATAATCATATAATTAAAAATTAATAACATTCCTAACTAATATAAAACACTGTAAATCATTTTTTTTAAGTTGGTCACTTCACAGTCTACCCATGGAGCAAAGTCTACAGAAATATGGAAGATTGCTGTTTAATTTAGAACAAGTACTTATTATTAATAGGTACTATTATATTAAGATATAAGTAATTTAATTTATTTTCATAATATTATATGTTTGTATGTTAAATTGTTTTCTACACAATTTATATTATTATTTTAGCGTTTCTAACATCCTTGTACTTTTTCATCAAAATGAGCCCAGCGACTTCTAATATTTTGACTATTTCCAGTTTATTTTTAACAGTCATTTTTTTTCATTACAAAAAAATAAATATGTACACACAAAATAACTTTGTACATTTTGAGAATGTTTAATAGAAACTAATTATTAGGTATTCAATTTTAAAGTGTCTTTTAATAGTCAAATTTCATTTTACGAGCTAAATTTTTAACCTTTTCTGTCACCTCAGATTGTGCAGAAAGATTTTCAAAACTAAAGCTAATAAAAACTTATTTGTGCATAGACTAGGATAGAAAAACTTTCTCAAGATCACTTAAGTATCAATTGAAGAAGAAGTACCATCCAAAATTGACTATAAACATGTCATAAATATCTTTAGTTCAAAAAAATCTTGAAAAAAAATATTAAATTGAGTTTTAATGTAATTTTTTCTATTTTGTTTGAGTTTACTTTTTAATAATATTATGTTAAAAATAATTAAACTTGACTATTATTTATTTATTATAATAATATAATACTTATATGGTTTTAATTGTAATAGTTAATAATGTTCTTATAGAACATATCAAATTAATACATATAAAATTTACAAAATAACCAATCTATCATAATACATTCATTATCTCAGAAGGCATTAACTTTTTTTCAGAATTTGTTTTATAGAACATTTAAGAAATAGGCAGCTCTACAATTTTAAATTTGTTATTTTTTGTCACCCTTATTTTTTGGGTTAAAACCACTAACTACATTTAGTTTTCAAATAGCAACCTATATTAAAAATTCTATAAATAGATTGAGTATTAAATAGATTTTAGTGTTGACATTTTTGATGGTCCGTGGAGAGTAGTGGTGCATTATTTGTATGGTGGTACATGGCGCGGTGTTTTAATGTTTTAATAGCTTTTTTTTTAGCAAGCAAACCTGTTAAATTGGCAGGCTTAATTTTGTTGAATACCAGATTGTTTAATGTTTCTTTTTTAATTTTATCAAACTGTGGTTTTCTATGGCTATGGTTGTCAGTAAATATTTTAATATGTAAAATAAGTTATTCATCAGTGACAAAACTATTTGTTCAATAATACTTTAAACTACAAGTACATATATGCTGAGAAGGTAAGAAAAAGCAAAATGGTTATAAACCCTTACCCTAATTATGCTGAATACCATTAACAGAACAAATTTGTGAAATTATCTACAATGAGTATTTACAATTTTTCTTAACATAAAGAATTATTACTACTCTAATCATTATCATAATTAGTACTCTTATTATTATAGTTATTGTACCTTGGACATGACCAATTCCTCCTTTGAGTAAATTGACTTTTGTGTGAACCTATTCCTTGAATGACATGTAACTGACTCTCCTCTTGCCTGAATGGTTAGAACATTTTCACCTGGACCAATTTTTTCTGAGCATTGTCTTGACGATTTCATGGATGAACATATTAGCAACATCTTCTCTAGTTGTATCTCATCTTCTCTAAGTAAGATTTGATTATCCATGCCATTCACTATGTAATCCAAATATCAGGACACCTTTGTCTAGACTTTCATAAAACCCACACATTCACAAAACATATTTTTGTTTATTTAGATCAGCAGCATATTCACTGCTACTCTTATAAACTTATTACAATCAAGTGAACACAGTTTATGTTGTTTAATAGTAATTTTTTTCTAGAAATGAAGTAGTCATCAAATAATTGAAATACCTCTTTCAATTTTGTATCCATAATTTGAACATTTATATAATTAAATATTTGACAATTTGCCAATAAAGTGCAAAAATATTAACATTTTTCTATACTCACTGAGTGTCATACCCACTAGTAATGAGTTAAATTTTAAATTCCTGGATCTTCTTTTAACAGAGATTACTCCTATGAAAGTTGAATGACCTGTTGACATGGCATTCACAAACATATCACTTTGAACCATCTTCTTTTGGAAGTACTTTAGGCAGTTGTGACATAATATATTCATTTTTAATGAAAAACGTGGTATAATCTAACATCATGCTATAACAAAATTTACTTTTTTTTAAAATGATTTTGTGTTGAAATTATACACTTAATTTTGTACAGGTTTTTGGTATTTACATAAACTTACAGCTTAATATACAATAATATAGTGTTTTTACAAGTCTATAGTTAATTATAAATATATTAATTATATAATATGTATAATGTAGATCTACCCAAAACTTGTTTATTTAAACATAGTTAGTAGGTAAAAAAAAAAAAACAAAATGTGACATTTTTACAAATTAAAATTACTTACATTAAGAAATAATATAGATATAGTCTTAAGAATAATTAAAGAAGCAAAAAAAGTTTATAAAGTTTAAATATATACACCTGTTTTGAAGTGAAAAAAAAGTTATTAGGAATTACATTTTGTTAACAATATTAGCAACTGAATCGATGATTATCCACTGGGTTTTACCTAAATTCTTAGCATGAAATTCCATATGTCTTTGTAAATGTTGAGATAAAGTGAATTTTTTAAAACATACTTCACAGGAATACGGCTTGAATCCACTATGAATTCTTGAATGTCTGTTTAAATTTGATAATTGAACAAATTCCTTATCGCAAATATCACATTTATGAAGTTTATCACCACTATGAATTTTTTTATGGAGCTTTAAGTTAAAGTTTTGGGCAAAAGTTTTTCCACATACTTCACATTTGTAAGGGTTTGCCTCACTATGAATTCTTTTATGAGCATTCAATTTATCTATTCTAGAAAATTTCTTTTCACAAAAATCGCATTTGATAGGATTTCCCTCGTTATGACTGTTTCTTTTATGGCTGTTTAAATGTTCTCTCCGTGAAAATGTCTTACCACAAACCTCACATTGGAAAGATTTTTCACCGTTATGAGTTTTTATATGAATAGTTAAATTTGATGAGTCAGAAAATGTATTTTTACAAATATTACAACAATATGGTTTTTCCTTGCTGTGAATTTGTGTATGTCTGAGTAAATGGGATTTTTGAGAAAAAGTCTTACCACAAGTGTCACATATAAAACACTGTTCTTCATCTAAAGTTAATTTATCCTTGTTATGAATTTTTGTATGTGTGTATAAATGGGATTTTTGAGAGAAAGTCTTACCACAAGTGTTACATGTAAAACACCGTTTTTCATGTAAAATTAATTTCTTCTTATGAATTCTTGTATGTCTGCGCAAATCAGATTTGTGAGAGTATTTCTTACTGCAAGTGTTACATGGAAAACACTGTTCTTCACGTAAAATTAATATCCCCTTATTATGGATTCTTATATGTCTGTGCAAGTCAGATTTTTGAGAGAATTTCTTGTCGCAAATGTCACATGTAAAATATTGTTCTTCGTGGAGAATTAATTTCTCCTCATTATGAATTTTTTTATGTCTGTATAAATATGATTTTTGAGAAAATGTCTTACCACAAGTGTCACATGTAAAACACTGTTTTTCACGTACAATTAATTTCTCTCGAGATTTCTCCTTGCTATGAGTTCTTGTATGTCTGTACAAATAGGATTTTTGAGAGAATTTCTTACCGCAAATGTCACATGTAAAACATCGCTCTTCAGGTAAAATTAATTTCTCCATATTATGAATTCTTGTGTGTGTCTGTAAATGCGATTTTTGAGAAAATGTCTTACCGCAAGTGTTGCATGTAAAAAATTGTTCTTCATGTAAAATTGATTTCTCCTTACTATGAATTCTTGCATGTATGTGTAAATGAGATTTTTGAAAGAATGTCTTACCACAAGTGTCACATGTAAAACGTTGTTCTTTACGTAAAATTAATTTTAAGGGATTATCTTCAATACTAATTGAACTGTAATATCCAACATCATCAATGCGATCTGTTTCTTGTTGTACTAAATTTTTTTCTACTACATTGGGGTTACATCTGAAACATATAATAAATAAATCAACTATTGTAATAGGTATTATGCAAAAACCATGATGGGCAGGGCCATCTTAAGGTTTTATGGGACCCTGAGCCCAACATATTTCGGAAGCCTCAAAATACTTAATTATGATGTATTCATTTTTTAATAGATAATGTATTATAATTATCTATTTATTAAATAATATATTTTTCATTAAAAAGTGCATTTTTGTTTGAATTTCTGTTTGTTATAATAAGATTAAAAAATACATAAATTAATATGTTGTATAGTAAAAAATAAATGTAATTCATTAAACAAAAACTAAAATAATTGTCATAAAAAAACAGGATTGATATAAATTTGACAGTTATTAAATATTTTTTAATGGTTTCTTTCTAGCTCTATCATTTGTAAACTCATCTATAATATTTTCAAAATCTAAACTTGATAGTAGTTCATATTCATTCAATACTCAATAAAGATAAGGAGTTCAACTGTTTCTAGCTCATGGTACTTCTAAGCTATTCTTTACTTAAATTTAACTTAAAAAATGAATGTCCCCACTACAGTTGGTAATCATCATTGATAATTTATCATTGATCTCGTCATAAATGCGTACCTTATATGTGTTTTTAAAATAGTCCCTACCCCTTTTATCTTGTCCTAGAGCCGCTCCTGATATTAAGCTACATTGCAATCGTAATCATTGTGAAATAAATTATAAATATTTGGGTACATCTACAATTTTTTATTTAAGAGGATGTCCTATCCCCTTATCTAAAGTTTAGAGTTTAATTACAAATAACATAATATAAGAGATTAAAGTTATTTGAAAAATTTAAAACTAACATGGTTGTAACATTTTTGTAAAAAACGTATTTCTTGAAATAATCTCTTTAAATTGTGCTATTTAAATTTCAGTTACAACTTAACCGCCACAATTTACATTCTAAATATAAGAAAAAAATTATTACAGACAATAGACAGGCGGATCTTGCTTTTTATATCTAAGATACAATTGATTAAACTGCGATTATTGAATAGCACGGTAGGTATTCAATAACATTAATAATAATTACGATTCGGTATCCACTTTTGGAACATGCATGAGTAGATTCATAGTAACTGGACACTATGACGTTTAGAGATTTTTTGATTCATTTTATAAAAATGATTACACAAATTATCTATTCCTGATTCTTATATGGCCTAAAATGATTAAATAATACACTATTTGTTATGTATATTATGTACACAAATCTATTATATAATTTTCTATTTTTTTTTTATGAAAATTTAGGAAACAAACTACTATAAAATCTAACATTAACATTAATTTTCGGTAGTGAAACGACTACTTACTTTAATTTTTAAATGGCAATCTATAATAAAAATTCCACGGAATGCCTATGACTGCACGCCACACACTGTTCTCTGCCTACCATAACTTGAAAGTGAAATATCTCATCAACAAGTTGATGAAAACCAAATATTTTAGTTCCAAAATGTATCATAACTAATAATCCATCTATTTATGGAATTTTTTATAGGTTGCCATTTAAAAATCAAAGAAGGTAGTCGTTTCACTCCCAAAAATTAGGGTGACAAAAAATAATATAAATGTTAAATTTTAGAACAGTTTGTTTCATAAATTTTCAAAAAATAAAAAATTTAATTTAATCAGAAAATAGTACATAAAATACCGTGGTTTTTACAGTTTTTATCAAAACTTTGAACGTTAACACATATATATTGAAAAACTAGTATTTTTCAATATTTTTATTGTACCACACAGGCACATAGACAGAAAATTTCTATTAGGGGGCCAATAATTTTTGGCCATCATTTACCATAATTTTTCCTAATGAAATACTTGTGGGCGGCTTCTCCCTCACTCACTTATGTGGTATGCCATACAAAGAATCTTATTAATTAATAATTTACTTTGGAAATTAGTTAAAAAAAAATGTTTTTACAACAAGTATACCCATTAGAGTAAGAAAAAAAAATACAGAATTATCTATATCTTCATTTAAAGGATACATTTATCATTCCATAAAAAATAAATCTACCTACATATTTAGAATATGAGCTGATTAAATTTCTCAATTTCTATTAACAAAAATTAATTTATACCTGAATATTAATCAAAAATAATATTGATAATTTTTAAATTAACTATAATTTTTAAACTAACTCAAATTTTTTAAAAAAATTACATGTCATACAAGTAGAAAATATTAATAATACAGTACCTAGCATAAGTACTTATATTCATATTAAACAATTCAATATAAAATAATTTTTCTGTTTTTGTGATGTTCTGAAAACAATTATAAAAAAAAATATCTAAATCTAAGTTCTAAGAAATTATTTTTTTTTTCTATACTTATTGAAGTCAAATTATTTAAATAATCATTTGTTATTCGATTCCTCGTGTAATTTTTCAGTCATCTTAGACATAAAAAAGTTTTTTTTAATGCAGAACTGAATACTGGAATAAATAGTTATTATAATAACAGCTAGCCTCTAAGTTTCATTGATTGCAAACTTATACTTTTCAAGTAGTTCAATTAGATTCATTAAGTTGTTCACTTTAAAATTATAATGAATTTGATATTTTTTAATAGTTGTTTGTACAGTTTTTAGTTCTGCCTTTAGATAGCGCTAGTCTATTATTGTTTATAAAACAGATATTTTTATCAAGACCATATTATTTATCTTTTTCAAATGACATTGTCCACGAATATAAAAATTAATTATTATAATAATAATTGTGTTACCTAGTAGTAGTAATGTAGTAAATGTATTTCAATGTGCATAATCACATTTTTGATAATTTATAAAAATAATTATATTTTGTACTTGGAGGGGGGCGACCCTGGGCCAAAGTAAATTTAAAGTGGCCCGGTCCACCAGTCCACCCAGGCCCCCCTTGGCTACGTGCCTGGTACCACAGCAACAATGTATGTCTTATGATAAACTTTGAAACAAGTTTAAGAGGCCAAACCAATTATATCTACATAAGACTAAATAAAAATTGAAAAAAAAAAAAAAAAACAATAATTTCGAATAGCGAAAACTCAAAAATTACCAGAGACCAGGATGTTTTGAAAATTTAACAGCGGATAGAAAGAAACAGTATATTATATTCTGCAAACATTTCAGATTTTTACAATTATTTTTAACTGAAACTAAAAATAAAATTTGAAAATAACAAAAACCGTTATATTCAGTTTCTCAAAAAGGAATTGAATTGTAAGATATTATGTAGCAAACTAGAAAAATAGTAATGTATGATTAATTGCCAAAAAATTCAATAAAGCAAATAACATAGGATCTAAATAAAAATAATAATTTGTGTTGATAAACAGCTTTTTATGCAGTGTAGGAAACGTTTAAATTAAATATTTATTATTCATCTAATAATAGTCATATATATTGTAAATTTTTAAACTACTAATTTGTCTTATCTATGGTCGTAATAGTAAATATAACCCATAGGAAATGTCAACTATTTATAGATTAAGAGCCACAAAACATGATATTTTGAAATTAGAAAAAAAATGTTCTATGAATTCTATTTTCAATAAATTATTATTTATAAGTTGTCTAATAAAGTGGTTTATTTATTGGGAAACTCAATCTCAACGTTTCCCCTGACGAGCCGCCAATGTTTAACACATGTTTAACTATTCATTGTGTTTATTTTTCGTAATATAATTGTAGAGTAAATATCATGTGAATATCAGTAAGGGAATTAACAAAAATCTTATCATTCAGTGCACATAGAAGATGGTAAACTACCTAAATCAAATTTGGCCATAATTCCAATTTATCAATCTACCGATTTTCACTTATAACTTCCGAACGAAGTTGCTCCTTTTTATGTTATTATTGCATATTCGAAAACACATTTTTTAAAAAAAAGGCGAAAAATCGATAGGATGCTAAACTAAAATAGTTTCCAAATTCCTTGTCACTATATACGTGACAAAATGTAATTTAGTTGAAATACTTAAATGTTTAATTTTCGTTTCGTGAATATTATATTATAGGTATTATAAATTTGCTCACTTTGCATTTGTCGAAACATCATCTACACCATCTTGATGGACTTCAATGGTAGATATGTCTTCCTTGGGTAATTGTTTTGAAAGTAACATTGTCGTATCTCGTCTTGTGATGCTCAATACTCTAAATACATATGTCCGGCGAAATCGCACCCTGGATTCGTGTCTTTCGATTCGAACAAACGAAAGTTTCGTACACAGTTTTCTAAATTATTTAACGGTACTCGTAACGAATAGAGCTTGTGGAGCTTAAAACACCTGTGAAACGCGAACACGAAATATTCTGTTTCAATCATAAACCAGAAACGTACTAAAATACCGTAACACTAACTACTCGACACTTAAACAAAGGTCAAACACTCACACAAAGCCTTTTTTCTAAATATGGCGAATTCATGACAGCATCTGGCGACCCGAAACAAAAGGGAGTGCCAACAGTCGAGTGGGGCGTTGGCCGGTGAACAAGTGAGGGTGACTTATTGGGGTAACCACCCCGTCAGTGGCTGATGATCATCACTCGATCCCTGTAAGTTTAGGGTTGCCAACTATTTAAATGTAAAACGTAGAACAGTGCTGACACATGGTTTGCTGAGACCCCCCTCCCTAAAAAAAATGGACGGACTTTCTTTACAAATATTCATCCTTTTCGCAAGCTTTGATAAGACGAACATTTTGAAAAAAGTCTAGTTTTTAGCGAAGCACGACAACAAGCCACCCGACAAATTATCACACGACACAAAGCCAAAAACTATCCGAAATTCTGACAAAATATTACCACCAAACCTTATATTTGGATACAAATTTTACGGAATTTAAATTACTAAAAAGCTCGATTATTTAATTAATATCTAATCGTGGTTTGGTGGCATTTTGTCGGATTATGGATACGGTGTTTTATCGAATGGCTTTTTGTCGCTACCATGTGACATTATGTCGAGTGGTTATTTGTCGGGACGCTTTATACAGTATCATTTTTAAATTCTTTACTATAACAAACATATTTATGTAATATATTATTTTATTTAAAATTAAAAATTGTAATTGGTAAGTAATAAATAATAATAATATTAGTAATCAACATGGATCCTATATAGTCCGTGCCGTAGATTACTAGTTGCTACAATTTCTACTTAATTCATGTCCTAATCGTTCGTATCACACTATCACTGTGTTATGTGATTGGTTTTATCTGTGTTAGTGTGTTCACGATTTGTTATTTATGTTTTGAGTTCGTAAATACAAATTTTAGTAAATTTTTCACTAATAAAATGCGAGATTACATTGAGATATTTGTGAATATTTCCAATTCTAACTGTTTAGATTTAGTTATGTTTGGCATATTATATCAACGTCTTCTGGAGGTATAATAATTATTAAATAAATTATGGTACGTATAAAAACTTAGTATGATTTCTATTAGTGGTTAGAAATAATTTAAAAAATCACAATGTAAAGATTAGTGTGCATAGACAACAGTACTGATATACAACTCAAAGCCATTTACCAAATATTTTAAATTTTAATCATAATAATAAGAGTTATTGCATTAACTTAGTTGTTTTATAAAAAAGAAAAAGCTGTTTATACTGGTGCGTGTGTCACTATTGTAGATGCAATATAGGATAATATATATAGTAAATTAATTTATATCCGTTATATCTGTACCTAGAGATAAATTAGTTATTACTTACGAAAAACAATTTTGTGGTAAGTTCCATCTAAAATAAAACATGCTTTGAAATGGCAAAGCTTTTACAATACATATATTTGAACTCGTGTTAAATTTTCAAGCATTTCGCTGGGCCATAACCATTTTATCCTCATAAAACTAAATAAAAACTATAAAACTATATACATTTTTGACTGTCATCAGTAGGAACTTTATGATATTTAAAAATAATCCTCGGATACTTTTATAATATTTATAATAGTATTCAATATTGTATAAAATTAATTGTAATTTATATTTTATTTTATTTAACAGAAATAAGCAATTTTGTTCTATTTAAATAGTGCAGTATATTCAAAATGTCAAGTTTAACTGATGAACAACGAAAAATGATTGAAGAAAAGAAAAAAGCTGCACAAGCCAAATTAGCATTAAAATTTGGTATGAAGACTACACCATCTATACCTCAATCAGCCAAAATTAATTACAATAATAATAATAATCAATGCACCTTATCAAAAACTGGATCGATTATGTCGCCTACATCATCAAATATCAAAACTAGCCATAATAGTTATAGTAAAAATCAAAACATCCAATCGAAAGTAATGATTCGTGGTACTTGTGAACTGATATCAAAAGACCGTTTTACTGTTCATGTAGCCTATCACCAACAATTAATTAGTATTTTTAAAACAATACAAAATAAATTGTACGGTTAGTACATGTCATCAAAAAATTATATATGATGTGTATATTTTTATTTTTTTATGAAAGTTATATTTATTTCTTTTCAGACCCAAAAACATCAGAATGGTCATTTCCCATTATATATCATGATCAGCTTATGATAAGCATTAAACCACTAGAGTCTGATGTTAAAATAGACAAGTTACCATATTTTATTTTAAAAGTAAGTAACTACCACATTTATCTAAAAAATATAATTGTTAATAATAGTACTAATAAAAATTTAAATTTCTTAGATGTTTAAAGCTACTGAAGATATTCCAACAGATCCATCAACAATTGATCTAAGTAATATTGATGATAATTTTTTAAATGAACTTTATCCTTTTCAACAATCTGGAGTTCAGTTAGTTATTTAAAACTTATATATATATTTATAAAATATTTTTTTAAAATATTTTATTATTTTTTTTAGGTTTGGAGTATCAAAAAAGGGTCGCTGTATGATTGCAGATGATATGGGCCTTGGAAAGACTATACAGGCAATTGGCATTATAAAATATTACTATGATGATTTTCCTTTACTCATTATTTGCCCATCAAGTATGAGGTAAACAAATTTTATTTATTTATGTTATTAGCTTTTATTTATTTATTATACTTAATCCCTTTATTAATAATACTCAAAGTTTGATATAGAACATAATTTTATGTTGTGTGTGATCTACCGTATGCTATGTTTTCATGGCTGTAAAATATAATTTATATTACACCTTCTCATCAGTATGTTTTATGTAGTGTTAAAATGCATGCTAATTGAATATATTCTATGATTGATATTTTTAGTTGGTTAATTGAAATTAACATACCTTATCATCTTAATAATTAATAATTTTTAACAGTTTATATAAAACTGCCTTGTTTTATTATAATGCACTTATTCAAGTTAAAATATACTATTAGTAATATAAATAGATATTATAATAATTAGAAAAAAGAAAAGAATAAAGTATATATTAAATTTTATAGATGCGGTAGGTCATGCATTGGATAAATGCCTGGTTGATAAGTTCTCAGAAAAGAGGTAAAATTTATTTTAGTTTATTAAGATTATCACAGTTAACTAGTTAACAAACTTTACAGCCAATCGCCTTGTCATTTTATTGATTTCAAGTTTAATAAATATTATTTATTTAATCTTATCAGATATACTTGGGAAGAAGAAATTCGAGAAAAAATGCCAAATGTTCCTGTAACGGGAATATATGTATTATCCAAAGTCAATGAACAATTTATTGACCCATCTGTAGTCATAACATCATATGACTTAATGACAAAGTCTAAAGATATGCTTTTAAAATTAAAATTTGGAATTGTTGTATTTGTAAGATTTTCTAGTTAATGTATCAACAACTTTTCATTCAAATTTTCATTATAAAAATGATCAATTTGAGTTTTTTTTTTGTCTTCCAAGGATGAAAGCCATTCTTTAAAAAGTGAGAAATCTGCCAGGACTAAAGTTGCAAATTCTATTGGAATGAAGAGCACGCGGTGTATTTTATTAAGTGGTACACCTGCATTGTCAAGACCAATTGAACTTTATACACAAGTTAAAATTATATCGAAAAATAAATTTATAAGTCCGTAAGTGCTACAAAGTTGCTTGATAATTTAACATCAGTGTTGAAATATTTTGGATTTATATTATTAATATAAATATTATGATTTTTATTTATTTTCTATAACATTAAAATAATAAATCCCTTTAAAAGATAGGTGTGACATTTTTTACAGTTGGTTTTTATAAAAAGTGATATAACAAGTAACAATCATTTTTTGATATTTCTATCTGAAACAAATAAAGTAACCATAATTTTTTATACTAATGTTATGATTTAAATTATACAACTAAAAATAAAATGAAATAGTATTCAATTTGAAATGAAACAAATGTTTTATCAATAATAATTAAAACCAATAAAACAAATAAATGATTGCATATTTTTGTTTTAAAATACTTAATGATTTAATCAAAATTATTGTGATTTTAGAATTGAGTATGGTGTACGCTACTGTAATGGCCGAGAAACGTCATTTGGATGGGATTTTACTGGCTCATCAAATATGAGAGAGTTAAAAGTTGTATTAGAAACTCAATTCATGATTCGCCGTTTAAAGACTGAAGTATTAAAACAGTTGCCACAAAAAATTAGGTATTTATTATTTCCTACATGTTGGTAGTGAATATTTATATAATCACCTAAGAATTTTTAATAAATAAATAAAAGATAAATAAATGATTAGTAAATGATTTAATAGTGCATCCAATGTTGATTGTAGGAATGTAGTGATATTAAAAGCAGAAAATATAAAATCTCGAAGTCAAGACATGGACGATTTGGAAAGCTTAGTGAACAATAAGTCTCTTAAGAAAACTCAAGTTCGCGGTGCTTTATTAGAATATTTTAACCATACTGGTGAAGCTAAATTACCTGCTATTTGGTGAGTATTTGAACAATCTATATTTTGGATTCTGAGAGAAGTAAGGAGTGTATTGGTTTTTTTTTTTTTGCTGTAATTTAATTTAAAATATTCCTTGAGGCTTAAAATTTGGACAGAAAACTTAAGCTAACCATACACGTTCCAGTTTACCGGAGAGGCTGGACTGTTTTAAAAATTGAAAAAAAATTTGCATTATAATATGATATTGTTAAGCTTTTTCTAGTTATGTGAATCTTATATGTTTTATTAAACTTATTAAGTAATTTTGTTTTATTGAAAGGTTTTTTTATGTAAGAAAAGATAAATTTAACTAATATAAAAATAAAAATAATAAGATGTTAAAATAATATGTTCAAAATATAAAAGCAGAAACTTAGTAGGTAGTAAAGAATAATTTTGTTTTAATATCTAGCGATTATATTCTAAATTTACTAAAAGAAGGACAAAAGTTTTTGGTATTTGCTCATCATCAAAAAGTTATGAATGGTATATGTGAAGTCCTTGAAAACAATAGAACTTAGTAAGTGATACATGTTTACTATATAATAATCTATTCATTTTCTATATGTCTGTATTGTTTTATTATTATATTTTGTCCACGTTTATTTTTAGTTACATTCGGATAGATGGTAAAACGTCATCAGAAGAAAGAAAATCAGTCTGTGATCAATTTCAAAGTGAAAATATATACCGAGTAGCTGTTCTTTCAATTTGTGCAGCAAATTCGGGTATTACACTGACTGCAGCGAAACTTGTTGTATTTGCCGAACTTTACTGGAACCCTGGCGTAAAAACATAAATTAGTATGAAATAACATTAAATAAAAAATTATATAATTTACTTTTCAGATATTAACACAAGCTGAAGATCGAGCTCATCGAATTGGTCAGGCCGAAACAGTGACCATACAATATCTTCTTGCAAAAGGTACTGCAGACGACCATCTCTGGCCATTAATTCAGTCTAAATTGAATGTTCTGAACAAAGCTGGTCTCAGTAAAGACAATTTTAAAGGTGATAGTACCACAGTAGTTGTAAGTGTTTTTTTTATTTTTTTATACTATTTTTCTAATTCTAATATTATTCATATTGCATTTAAAATTTATTGTGCCATTAATTAGAACTGTGCTACCCAATCAAACCAAATGAGCATTCTCGACTATTTAGATGATAAAACTGATGAATTGGATGAAAACGATTTAAAATTTTTAGATGAATTGGAAGAATCACAATATAAACGCCGTCGAAAATGTTAAGTTATATATTTTTTTTTTTCAAGTAAGTAATAAAATTTATATCAACATAGATATGGATTTCTTTTTAATTGAATTCTGAATATTTAAAAATGTTCAGTTAAAATTATTTTATACAAATGTGCATTTTTGGTATTGATGTATTACTATGAACATATGTATAAACTTTTCTGTAAAAGCTTACACTGATTAATAAATCAACCAATATATTATATATTTTAAATATTTATTTGAATATCAATAACTACTAGATAAAATTTTATTGTTTTAACTGCATTATTCAAATTTTTAATAATTAAAAATTAACCCTGTAAAAAAAAATAATCTTTTTATAAAAATGTTTACAGTGTTTAAAAGGATAATAATAAATAAAAAAGGAACTTGATACATATAAAGAAACTTGTACAAAATTAAAAAACATGCAAACTTTACATATCATCTATTAATATTATTTATGGAGCACGTACAGGTATTTGTTTTCTTTATCTGTATTGCGTGTGGTATTGCATAAAATAAATGTTGCACTTCATCAAATGTTGACACAGATTGAATTTAGACCAAAGTGGCCTATTATATAAACATTTTATAAAAAAAAATTGTGTTTTACTTTGCTTTAGTACTTTGCTTTGCAATAATTTTTTCTTTTTTTAATATTTAAATTGTATTCATGCAAAAATTAATGTTTTTAATTTAACTTAATTTCAGTCACGAATAACTTATAAGTTATTAAGAATTAAATATACTAAACAATTATTTATTGTAAATGCTCATAATTCTAAAAATTGTATTGTGTTTGATGACATGTGATCATCTAGTTTTGAGTAGTGTTGACCCCTTGGCTATTCAGTTAGTAACTGGTCAGTAAGGTTTTGGGAGACTGTTTTGAATTAAGTGCTGTATACGAATCAAATAATCCGATGCATATACCAGTTTTTAATATTAACTGATGACAGTTGGTATTAAATTCAAAGTTGGCCATTAACTAGTTAGAAATTTAAAGTTAGTTTTGATTTTAAATAGCATTCTAACTTAACAAATTAAATTGTTTGTTTAATCAAATGTTGTTAAAAACAAAAGTAACCAGTTACTTATTTTTTTAACCATTCCAAATCTTCCAATTATCAGTAATACTGGTAGCTGGGTAATAGAATATACTAGATAGTATTTTGTAATAATATAATATTATATGTTTCTTATTATATTTAATTTCTTGTAATGTACAGTTTAATCAGAGTTAAAGTCCTTACATACTGCATTGGTGCCTGTAAAACTCGAAAAGAATAACCTATAATAATTTTGATTTTTAACTGTGTATCTGTACCTTATATATTCATGCAAATTGTGTGATTTATGATTCATGGCTTCACGCCATAATCACTCATTTCGTGTATAATGTATATATATTGTTATATTTCTTATTTTGTTATTTGGTATACATTTTATGTTCCAATATTTCTATTGATTAAAAATGATTTCATATTTTCAATAAATTAAGGTTAATATTTTAAACATTTAATCGAATTATCAATTAAATTATTCAATTAAATTGGTCAATTATTATCAATAATTTATTTGTTAGTTTTCAATTTATATTTTAAACTATAAAAAAAAATAAACTTTTATTCCAACGTAATTATTATTTGTCTTCACTTAGTGAATATTCTAATTTCATTATTATGTTTAAAAAAAATGACCAACTTAACCAGCTTTGATTTAAATACAATTTGTATTATTTTCTAAACTTTTTAAAAAAAAAAAAAAATAATTTTTACTTTTATTTTTTAATTTAATTAAAAGTTTAAAATTTGTATAATAGTTTAATAAAACTTATAGTCAGTTGAAAATGTTTATAGATTTTCACATTCCGCCTATGAAACGAGTTCTGTAAGTGTATATGTATACCTAATACCTTAGTATATAATTAAATACGTATTACCACACAATGCAGTTAAAATTTAATATAATTAGCGCATATCAGCTTAAAAAAAAAAATCCAAATTAATGGTAGTACTTACATATTTTACATTTTATTAAAATTCAGTTAGACACAGATTTCAAATTTTATAGTAAAAAGTAGAGAGACTGGATTTAGTCTCTCTAGTAAAAATTAAAAACTTATCATTTACAAAACAACATTATGGTAGTACCTAATAAGAAATGAAAAAAAAAAACAACAATTTTTCCTAAAACGACTTCAATCAGTGTTCGATAATAATAATATATATATATATACGTACGTAATATTATGGTGAATTTTAAATAATAATAAATAATTACGATTATAAAATAATAATTTTCAATAAAGTAAAAAAACCCACGCACGCGCTCAACACGGATAACAATTTAATAATATTATGGTTAATGGTATACGGTCACGGCCGCAAGAAGATTCTATAAATAGGAAACTGAACTGCGGTGCGGGGTGGGAGTTTATCGTTTTTTCCACCAAATTATTGGAAAATGGCAGTCTTCTCTTTGAACGCGATTTTCCGTTTGGACAGCTCGTCCTCCAACCGTTTCTTCTCCTCCATCTCTTTCCGTAGCTCGTACTCAAACCGGTTGGCGATGCCCTGGTACTCGATCTGCGAACATATACGGGTATAGTTCATTATCTTCTATCATTATAGAATGGCGATAACTGGGAGCCTGCGTTTCTAGGTTCAAATTAAAAATAAGAATTGGGAACTTATAGAATAGAATCGGTGAGGAATCGAATTTTAAACACGGCAGAAAACGGTAATTTTCTGTGTTGCTTACTTTGGCTTCGAAAAATTCTTTAGCGCCGATCACGCCGACTTCGACCACATCGATTTCCGTCAGTCGAGCCAACTCGTTGAGACCGCAGTCCTCGGGCAATGATCCGTCGTACGCTTTACGATAGATCAACAAAAACTGTAACCATAAAAACAACAGTGTGTATTGTTATAATGAAAATATAAAATTAAAGTTAAAATATAATATCGTGCACCTAATAAGTATTTGTGTTTATAGTTCATGTTACCCGATAAATGTAAAAGTTTTAATATTTTGAAAAATATAAAACGTAGAATTTCTGTTTAAATGCAAATCCTGATTTTGAGATAATAATCTCGGTTGTGATTTTCATCGGGTTTATCAAATTTTTCGGAATCTAGGCGTCCTCAACGCTTTTAAGTCGATTGGAATCCGCTACAATAATTATTCCGAATCTTGGAAAACGCATAGCTTTAGTATTATATAATCGCAATATACAATAAATGATTGACAAATTTTCAGAAACAGAATAAAATATATTATTTATTATTTAACATTAAAATTCTATTTATATGAACTAAAAAAACACGAGGGAGTAGTAAAATTTAGACGAATATTGCAGTGTCGTTTTCTTTAGTCGATAGTCATGTGATCGAAATAAAAAAAATCATTCGAACGACTTGACGGTAAAATTTCAGATTATCGTTTTATTGTTATAAATTTATACACGTTGTTCCATAAATAAGTAGCCAACTCTTAGAATAGATTTTTTAGATTTTTTTTTTTTTTTTGAATGTGAAAACTTATTTGTAAAATATCCATAAAATAAACCATTGGTACTGCAAAATGTTCAGCAAAATTCTCATCAATATTTTTCTATCAAATTAGCATTATTTTTCTAATCAGATTATTAAATTAATGTAAAAAATGTAAACACAAATTCATGCTTAATACCGAAATTGCAAATTTGTACATGATTAACCAAAAATATCAATGATAGATAGGTAGCGATAATTTTTGGAAAAAATCGAATGAGTCTTTTTCGTGTAGGAGAATTCTGCTAGAAATTCTCTGGTGATTTTTTTTCGTTTTTCACAGATATTTTACAAATAAACCATTTAAAACTATGATTTTAATATAAAGAAATATTCCAAAAAGTATATTTTGAGTGGCACATAAATATAGAGCGTAGGGTTAACCATTTGTATCTGGAGCATCCTATGTATGCAGTCCCTGCGATTTGCACATTATACGCCCTTACCCTAGCACCACGACTTTGAAATTTCTATTGAAAAATTTTTTTGCAAATTGATTAATAATTCGTCGCTCGAAATTCGAAATTTTTAATCCTGTTTTAACCTCCCTAAACTGTATCTAACAAATTTGTTTTGTTTTCTCTTTATTCCATTATTATATTTAGAACTATATACCCATCACAGCACAGCCTTTGGCTACAGTGGGAAGACCAATACTTTTGTTTTAGCTTTTGTGCTGTTGCTGTGTGCTGTTTTTTGTTTTCGGTGAAATATTTTATTACCTATTATTTATAAATTTCGATCCGAAATCGCCTCTGTAAGGATCTCACTTATGCCGCCGTATAAGTACAAAACTACAATAATATGCTGCGTCTACATTTCCTATACATGATTCGCCCGGAATTCCGAATTACGAAAATAAAAAATATTCACATCCGGCAAAATGACCCGCAGGCGGAAATAACTATCAATTCCCATGCATCGCGCGGCGGTACCGTAAAAAAAAAAACGTACCATCGTCATCCTCTCGGAACAAGCTGCAGCGCAGCAGAGAAAGTCTTAAAAATCGAAAACAGCATAATAATATTATACACACCACGCGATTGTTATAGGATAAATCATTGTTATTATTATTGTACACAACATTTGCCAGACGTACGTAATATAGGTGTAAATATATTACATGTGTGTACAAAAAGTGCGCGGGATCTTATGCAATGCGGTTATTAGGTATAGTGCATAGGCAAACCTAGCTGCAGCTACACCTATTATAACAGTATCATAATGTATTACAAATCCTGCGGTTTATTCGTTACTTTCAAACAAAATTATATTAATGCATACGATTGGGTATATTTCAGTATCTATATGTAAATATATGAAAAAAAAAAATTGTAATTTTGTTAAACTAAAATATTATGTATCAGAGCCGACGCCGCGACGGAAAGCTTAAGTATACGCGCGCGTAGAAAACGTTTGAAAAAAAAAATAAAACCATAGACTTGCCTATGCTATTATCATATTATATTATATTATATTACTATTGTGTTTATTTTGCATAGAATAGAGAAATTATTATTATTAATCTATACGCTCTCGCTTGTTTATTGATTTTTTTTTTTATAGTTTAAAACATATTTTGTGTGTATTATATTTTTTTAAGCGCTTATCATTTAGCAATAACAAGAATACACTTTGCTATGTCGTACGCAGTATATAATATGAACGATACAAATGGATGGACAATTAAGTTCATTGGACACTCAGTAAAGTAAGATTTTGGTTACTGTGTATCCACTAGAATATAAATAGTAAATAATGGAATTTACAGATTTTGTAAAAAATATAGACATTATACTTCATGTAGAAAATACTCTCATTGGAAGGAGAGAGGACACGCAATGGGTATTCACTACAAATGTCCTAGGTTTCTCATTAATTTTAAAACAATTTAGAGATGAAATACTAACTGCAGTGGACAAATATTTCAATGAAAACTTCATCATCTTGTGAAATCCAAAATACTTACAAATATAATCAATTTATAAATATTAGAATCCTTATAATATATAGAAGTACGTACTTCTCGAAAACTAATTTTGTCGTCATCGTCTTCGTCCACCTCTTTGATCATGGCCTTAAGCGCCAGATGAGTCTGCGGAACTCCCAGTTTTTCCATCATCCGCTTGAGTTCTCCTAAGTCCAAGTATCCGTCATTGCCCGTGTCGAACCTATAAACATAATTAATTAAAACGTTAAATTTATAAATAATATGGTTGAATTACTTGGTAATTCCCAAGTTTAATCTCTTCAAAAAACAAAAAACTCTAAAAGAAATTAAATTTAATGTATTTCCGAACCTTTTCGCTCCCGTTATTTATATGCCAATTAATCGTTTTTTCCCATTGATTAGACTTTTAAAAAAGGTACTTCCTGTGTGTATACGTATTTATTAATTTGTTTGGCATAATTTATATATACTTTATTTATGTTTTTAAAATTAAAAATAACAGCTATTTTTTATCCGTATCACCAAGGTAACTCAAAAATCAACAAAACAAAATTAAATTTTAGTTCAAAATGTACCGAAAATTCTGACCCATCCTTTAGAAGTTCATTTCCGAGATAAAAAAAAATAGAAAGCGATATTTTTCTTGTTTTGAATGTCAAGTGTACAAAGTTTCATCGAGATTGGATTAAAACTATAGATTCGCATAACGGACAGACAGACAAAATTTCAATTTCATGTATAAGAAGATTATACGGTATTCAACGATCGATATGATAAGGTAGGTACCAAATAAATACGTTTTATACAATTGTGGGGCTATCGAAATCTTCTCAAAAACATATACGCGTTTTGTTGAGTAATTTCGATTGTAAGTTTTTTCCTTTCCCTTTTCCCACTGATCGATAAAGTTTCTTTTATTATTATATATTATTTCTTTCTAAATAACTAAATAAGTATAGAGTCTACGAGTAAAAATTCCTTAAACCATCATCGTTGACTTGCGATTTATGAGCCAACTTGTGCATTTCTACTGTACAAACGTGTTTTACTATTATTTTTTTTTCTCTAAGTATTTCAAAACCACGTACCCACATCATAATATAGCCTATAGGAATCTATTATACGACGACGGCGAATGAATTATTATTTGTTTTTAATCCAGCGGTTATTACTGTATAATATAATCGCAATGATATAATGTGAATCGCCGACGCCTGCAGTCTATATGAAAACGAAAGCACTTTGGACGCGGAGAAATAAAACACTAAGCGTAAGTATACCTAATAATATGTTGTGTTCGTCTTAATATTGAGAAAAAAAAGTGAAGACCCACAAAAAGATTTTCTATTCGATTTCATTTCGAGGGGGCTCCATATCGGTCGTTCGACTGCAGTATACCGTATAAGAGCTTAAGTTGTAAAACTGGTATCCTATAATATTAATGAAGCCGTGCCCATACCACCGTCGTCGATTCCAAAACGCCGAAAAAGTGATATTTCAACATTATTTTTCGATATGTTTCGGACGTTAGATTTCCAAACTTTCGAAAGAAAAAAAATATTACTCTTCGGGTCACGCCACGGTTGTTCTCTAATATGTATATAAATATATATAAATACCTACAAGAAAGCATCGGTGGCTCAGTGTATATTTCAACATACACAAAGTAGGCGGCACTAATTGAAAAATAAGTGCCTCCAGCAGTGACGTATTTAAGGAAGAAGATTAGGTATCCCCCTTGACCTTTTCTAGTATTTATTACATCCATAACTGACTATTTTTTGAAATTCGAATTTATTAATTCTTTAATTAGAAAAATAAAAAAATGTGGTATATGTTAGTTTACACGCTATATTAAATATTAAAATTCAATATAATATCTCTCTTGAGCAAAATCCTAAATAAACTACTGCCTTCTACATAGCTTAATGAATGTATACCTATAATTAATAATACTTGGACGGCATTCGATAAAAAACGAAAATAAGTCACTTTATGATATTAAAAAAAGACGAATTTCAGTGCCACCAATCGATCCGTCGTGAAATTTCCTGCCAAATTGACGCGTAATATTTAAATTTCAGTAAATGTGACTTATATCCTTTTTCACGATTGTCGTCCGTTTATTTTTTGTTATAAATACAAGGTCTCGATTACACATTTACGGTTTGCGATCTCCCTCTTTTCGATAATCGGTCGTTGCACCAAAAAATAAAAATAAATCTCTCCTCGCGTGCCACGTGATTCGTGGGCCGTGTAAACGATATTAGTACCTATTTTTATTATAAAAATCGTAAATATAGATATAATATAATAATACTGTTCTTGTACAATAATATAATGGCCGCCGACGACGGATTGTTTGCGTTACGTTATAATAATTTAGCCGTGTTATTATTCTAATATGACGTACGAGAAAACGACAGTTTTCGGCGATCGCGCGCGGATATTATTGTCTCTTTTTTCGTCCGGTGATTTTTGGTCGACACGCGGGCGGGTACACCGTAAGAATACGCGTATCGGCTTTCAATATACGATATAGATAACAACAGTAATAATAATAATAGTGGGTATAACAATATGATATTATACGTATTACACGTGTTATAATTTGCACGTACGCCGGCGTAGAAACCCCCCCCCAAATAACCACCGTGACCCGTGATCGTCACCGCACGTTGAGGTTTCAAAAGAAAGGGCCGCCCGATTGGCTCGAGTAAAAATTTAAAAAAAATCACCTGCTTTGCAACAGTGAAGATCAGTCAACTTCGTGACTTATGGGATTTTTTTTTTATATTTTAGTAGAGGTATTCTGCTTTTATGTTTATGTTGTACAACGTTTGTGTGTGTTAATTACACATTGAGTTATTATTTATTGGTTAACAGTTTTAACCGACTTTTGACATTTGGTGTTAACGTCTTTAGTGATACAGATGCTCTTTAACAATTTCACTTGAACCACTTCAAAAAAATAAAACTAACATTACACATTGAAATCTCTCCATAATTTATGGTAACAATTTGGTTTCTCAATCGTATGACCGTATAATTTGTTGGCGTCCCCAAAAATTACACTATTATGTGCACCCGTAGCTATCATATAGGTCATTTTATAGGCTCTTAAACATCATGTGTAAGAGTTAATAATTTTTAAGTTAAATTTCAAGCGAACCCAGATATTTTATAAATTTTCAATCTTGTCATCGCCTAAATTGATGACATTGACGGGTAGTATAATACTTATTACTTATATATTTTAAATTTTTTTTACACAGGCCGCGGCGTTATCATATTATTTGTATTGTTGCGAATATGTCACTGTTGCAATTCGTATGATTAAATTCTCATTTAATAATAACTAATAATAAAAATAATTGTATCATGTCTGGTCACGTCGTATAATACGAGGTAGCGCTGCGAGAGGTTATCACGGATGAATAATAAACGGAACCATGTAAATTGATATAATAATAATAAATCGATAATCGACGAACTCTTTTCTTCCCGTTTGTTTTTTTGCGATACGTTTAACCGAATATAAGCAGTTTTTTCTCCGTATTCGTTCGATATTCCGACTATTAATACTGTAAGTATGTCTTTCGTTTTCACAATGGTCCCATTTAACGCAGTATTTTTTTTGAATACCAAGGACACTATTTTTGTAGAACAATCAAATTTGTTTGGGTACCTATTTACCAATTACTTTATTTTGTTTGGTAAGATTTTACTTATCAATTATAAATAATAATAATGTTACCATAATGTCAGTAGCGCACGCGGGATTATTTTCCGGAAGGGGGGTGTGTGCTTAGAATAATTTCCTAGTAGGCATAACGCATACATTATTAGTGCATACTATCACTATTATTACTGAAAAAATGATTTTTGATGAAATTAAGTTTTATTTGATACTGTTGCATAAGATATTATGTTGTTGAGTGTAAAACTTGATAAAATAAAAGTAAAAATAAAGTGAAGGAAGACATTTTTGGCGAGAGGGGGTAATTGGTCTCCTAACCCCGCTACTGAATGCGTCACTGCATACTACAAAATATTTTTTCTAACGTTTCGTGGGACAGGATATTTTATTGAAAATGTAGATTGGTATGACGATACCTTACCCCTCATCCCTTTCAACAATTTTAGTAATTTTGTCTACTAGTTCAACGCTGCAGCTGTGTATTGGTAAATTGTTTAAAATGTGCAAAAATATAATATTTAGGTATTGTATAGGAATATCAAAACGTATATTCTATTATGCAGGTATATGACGATTATATAGTGTGTAACGCTTTAAAAATGGAGCACCCTGTAATAATAAATTAACAATGATTTTATCTCAATCACGTGTTGCCGATGGCAAAAACAACACTATTCGATGAACACGAATATCGATTTATTATTATTATCAAAAAATAGACAGTCAATAATTCATTACAAATCGATTTAGTACTTTCTTGTAGTTATAATGGTATAAAACTATAGGTAAACAGGTCGAAACTTAAGGCCGTTTGATTTTTTTTTTTTAATTTTATTACATTATAAGATTGTAACTGTTATTATTTATTACTAATATAATTGTTTTTACAATGCTCAATAATACATTATTATTATGTTAATGTCATAGTATCGACTGTGCAATACGACTAACAGTAATTCGAAAATATATTATGTTTGCTTCATAATAATCAAAAATATTATTATGATATTTAAATCATCATCACCTCCGAGATATCAGATTATTGGTCAGTGTCTGTTTTCCGACATAGATATCCTTATGAAGCCGACTCGTAATTTTTTAAACAAAAATTATTTTTTTCTAATAAATAAACAGTTTACTGCGAAACAATAATCACTTTCACGCGTACACCAAAATTATGTCCAAAAATCTATTGTGAAATAAATAATTATTCTTATTATACGAACAACTATTTACTATTTTAGAAAATATTTCCCAGAATTGAAAACGATACAAACCATATCTAACTGCAAAATTTACAATAATTATTATTTGTGTTGAAAGTTTCAATTTTAAATTTTTTTATTCTAAACATTATATTAATGATTATAAAGATACTGTAGTAAAACTGACGGCCGAGATGAAAGAAAGTGAACAGCAATGATTCAGGGGTTGGAAGGAGGAGATATTAAACAAAAAATACAGTGATTAATTTTTCAGCGTGTAACCCCTTAAATCCCACCACAAACTGCTAATTTAAACCAATCGGACGTGTATTTACAGGAAAAAAAATAGATTATAATAGACTTCACGAAGAATTTTATTTAAATATGTTTTTGGAAACCTTAGATATCTTAATTCATTTACAATATAGAATACCACTACCACCGAAGAATTTCCATTAACAGCTATACACAAGTCGTTTATCCCTATTTATTAGTATTTTAGGGTTCCCTTCTCATCTCCATCGACCCACAATTTTAATTGCTTTAATTAAAGTATTGTTTCGATACTAGATCGCGTGATGTCCGTGAAAAACACAATATTTATGATTCGGATATATATTTAAAAAACAAGATTAGTTATTACGTTAGGTACATACCTATCGACGAACGTGAAAATGTTTTTTTTTATCCACCAAGTATTCGCCGCTATAATATTAAAATATATATTATTGTGTAGTATACGCCAAACTGATAGGTACATACAAAACTATTCGCGCGTTGTGTTTGCATAATAGACCACGTATAACTAAAAAATTTAAAAACAAATTAAGATACAAAAAAAAAAAAAAACTAACACTGTATAAGAATCCATGAATAATATATTGTCTATAATAATATAATGGTACCGAGTTAATAGTAGGCATACCGAAATTATTATTTATTGCATATATTTTTTCTGCGTTACGAATTAGAATAGTATTGTTTTCGGGTGTACACGAGAAATAAATATTATTATAATATGCATAGTATTATAATTAATAGGTATACGCGTGAAAGTTTAGATTCGAAATTGTTTTTTTTTTTCGTTAAATAATTAAATATACATATATATATACAATACACGTATTATACAATTACTTGCATAAATAATAATAATAAAACAAAAAAACGATGGGAATATAATAATAATTACGTGGAATCGATTATGAAACTAATAATTGTTTTAAAATATATTATTATTATTATTATATTAAATTTTATTATAATACTCGTATATTGTTGTGTTACTGTTCTGCGTATCGTTACTAGGTAAGTAATTACTTGTCTAGTAAATGATAATATTTTTCGTTATATTAATTATAATTTATAAGTCGTGAGTATAATATGGTAAAGAAAAAAACTAGAGACTTTTGAAATGCGGTATTATCGACAAATTCTTAAGATTAAACGGACAGAAAAAAATAATTAAAAAAATAAAGAAAAAACGTAAACTTTGGCATAATGAAAAAATTATAAGCGACAAATTACAGGCAAATTACCGCATCTATAATGTATTACGATTAAATCAGTTGAAAATGAAATACCAAGTGAGGATGTCTAGGTCCGCCCGATATTATGTAATCATCTGTTATCGCTAGCACTATTTTTTATTTTTTTTAGATTTTTTATATTTAATATATCGTGTGACAATAACTGAACGAAATGCTTCACAGAAGATGACATAGAAGTCATATTGGAAGAAGAAAACCAAGGATGGAGTACACAAAAAAAATCGTGAAAATCGTGAATAAGGATATTTACAAATAGTTAAATGAATTGAGTTATGAATGGGGAGCATGGAAAACTGCTGCAGCGAACCAATCGAACGATTGAAAACGAGACGAAAATAAATAAGTACCGAATATTATTTCATATTTATAGATTATAGTATAAAGTAAGGAATTATAATTGTAATATGAGATTATGAAACTAGGTTAGGTACCTATATAGTGTACAGATAATATAATAAATGATTTGATGTTCGAAATAATATAGTACGTCGAAAAAATGTTAAACTTATATTTATATCTCGACTTTGAGTCATTATTTCACTGCGCGTCGTAGTAGACAATAAACTGAACACGAACATTTCCTCATAGGTACCAAAACGAAACAAACTATAGTAAATAGATAACCTAACCAATAGAAGTCGATATAATATTAAATTTTAAGATTTATTATAGGTTTTCGAACACTTAAGAGAACCAACCACTGCACTATATAGTAATAGCTAAAGTAAATAATATTGATAAATATGCCTAATATTATTTAAATACATATTTGGTCGGTCTATTGTTGGTCCCATAACGTGTCGACACGTTGCAACAAAATCATTGTGTTCGGTATAAGATAAATGTGATTATAATATATACAATTTTTTTTTAAAAAAAACCATAATATTTGTTTTCTACACATACCTGTATTGACTTTAAGGAGTCTCTACACATAATTTGTTTTCTCTGTCTATCTCAAGCGTATAATAGAGCATTTCAACGATTGCGACTCTCGGTTGAGTTTAAGGCAAAGAGACCTGTTACACATTTTATATAGAAAAGTACTCAATATGCCTTGGTTAAAATTAAACTCGTCACTGAACGAATGTGAGTTCGGCCGTCTAAGCACGAGAAAACGGTACACCAAAAACATTTATAATCTAAGTTGGACACGAATCGTCCATGTTAGTTAACATTGAGTTCAAAAAGTATTGCGTAAGGATGTCCAATGTTTTAAATTAATACATTTGAACTAATTAATGTGAAGAACATTCAATTTTGTGGAATCCGACTCACCCTGAGTATATATTTAGTAAACAAAATAACAAATTTGACATAGGTATTATACTGTGATATTGCTAAGAAAATTAATTCGGAAGAGGTCGTTTTCGTTTTTCCTGTTTTTTTTTTTTTTTTTTTTTTTTTTTTTAAATTTATTTATTAAATAATGCAATCGACGGCATAATTTATTGTAAATTCTGATATACTGAAACAAATATTTTATGGCAAATGTGCACGCGTAAGTGAACCGCGCATATATTGTGGTCTAGCAGAAAATTCGGTTAGAATGCTCGTGCGATTGCTCTCATTTACCTTGGTCGTATTGGACGCACCTTCATAATATAAACGCGCATAATAATACGGAGCAAATAACAAATTATTGTACGCGGGATAATATTCGGATGACAATCTGCAGTAGGAGACTGTGGCGGAAAATAGTAATATTGTGCATTTAAATTTAATAATATTGTCCCACTCGCGTTATTTTACATACCGGTATGGAGAAACATTGTGTAACTCGTATTACAAACTGCATAATAATAAACGCACGCCTATAATATTAAAATGGTATTATAGTATTTTTGATAAATGATAGTAAAAAACGACGGCGCGCGGCGCATTAAAAAACCCACACACGAGAAACTGGAAACGGCCGCGCGGTTCGTCCTCTAAACTAAATTTATTTTCAAGTCGCGGTTAATCGTTTTAATAATACTGTACGGCGTAAAAACCAGATGTACCTACGGATTAGCATTTTAATTTCCGCGTTTGATTGTTTGAACAATTAACAGGAAATTCACTTTCGACGGTGAAATTAAGTCTAATAATATTATACTTATCTAAAACTAATTGTTTTAATAATAATAACCCCGTTGGTTTTTAAGTGTAACCTTCAATTATTTCCATTTACTCGTTTGTTTTGATATATTGTGTACGAGTACACGGAAAATATTCATATTGTTCGCGCAATTGATGAGTAGGTACGCTGCAGAACGTTTCGTAGTAAACGTTTCGCGTGGGTTACATAAAGTTTTTTTTTTTTTTTCCCAACAATTATTATTACTGTAATGTTATCTGACGAGATGTATTTGTATAATAACATGGTCAATAAAAAGTTACTTTGTGTCTGTGGCGGATCCAGAGGAAGACGAATGGGGGGAATTTCCCCTTTATTGTTTGGCCTAAATTGAATATAAGTGAAATTATTTTTTAAATTAAAAAAAAAATTAAGACCTGGATCTGTTACTGCGAATTGTAATACAATCGACTTGTGTACTGTGTTGTAATTGAAAAGTAATTTTTAGTTGTTTTATATCCCATATGTATAAATATAATGACTAAAAAAAATACTGAATAAAACAGGCCAAAACGTAATAAGACATTTATAATAATAATAATAATAATAATAATATCAATGATATCGACAGTTACGCAACAGACGTGTTGTTTTCGACGATACCGTAGACCTTAATAGACGAGCCTTCTGGACATTGCATAGTGCATATATTACGAGCAACAGTCAAACATAAGACAGTTACCCGATAAAACTTGAATGTTAACTGCACCACTCCGTACGATTATTATTGTACAAAATAATATTGTATTGGAAACAGTAAATAATTTCATTGCGCGTTATCATACTTGTTACGATTAAAATTTTTATTTTTAATGTATCTACATTTTTGATACCATTTATATTAAACATACTTGTAGAAATTTAAACATGTTGAACTAATCAGTTCCGATTACTGGAACAACAAACTTATAACTTTTTTTTTGTAACTTATCTATATTATTAAAAACTTGACTTACTCTTGTACTAAAATTTAGTAACTTGCTTACTTGTCCAGCTTCGCATATAGGTGCCTAGTTGTAAATATAACGCTGTTTCTAGGCGATTTCACACTAACACATCACATTGTACATTATATTATTATAGGAAAACGGTTTTCGAAGACACGCCGATGTTTTACGCATATTCATATAATATTGCAAGGAATCAAGATTTTTTTTTTTTATTTTTTTTTTAATAACCATTGTTTTTCCTTTCACCTATTGTTCGACGTGCGGCTACGACGATGGTGATTTCGACACAGTGCCACACACACACCAATTACAATGTTATTGTAAATATATGTACACACACAGGTGCGAGTAAACGACGAGGAAGAATAAAAAAAAATTCACAACAGAAAATAAGAAATAATACGTATAATATCGTTTATTTACGCGGGAATTATACACACGTGTGCGTAAGTGTTAATATTATAGGACAAATATAGTTTTGAATAGCAACATAGTAATAATATAGTAACACAGTTTGAAGTGAGCTATACGCCTATACCGAACGTTTTACGCTAATCATATTTTGTACCTAACGGGTAAGTAATAAACGGTAATAGATAGAGAGATCGAATAGTGTTTACTAAGTTATGTGCACAACTGAATAGTTATTATCGAACTATTCGAATAATTTGTATTGTGTTCTAGGCCAAACTATTCGGTTACAGAAAAAATGATTCGAATAAATCATTCGAAAGTGTAAAACTATAAACTATTCAGAAGTGTTTATTACTAATGTTTACACATAACATTTTAGAATTTATAAGTATACCTGTATTGTACGTGTTAAACAAACTTGAAAAACTTTTTTTTAACGAACTTAGCTTAAAAAAAAAAGGAGGTAGGTATTTATAGCATCGTGTTTTCATATTCTGTTATACGGTTCTCAGACTTACTGGAATCTATATTCGAAAGGTCTGAGTTCTGATAGCAGTAGTTTGTTGTATCAAAATAAGGGAAACTTAATGAATTTTAGGGAAACTTTAATGACAACCGTGAAATGGATTTAGTGACGTCACTGCCGGTTTTCACGATAGCAGAACATGTGCTGTTTACCGCGCTCGATTTCTTGCTAGATTTGAACATGCACCAATCAGAAAATCAGCATCTTGGCACGTGATCATAAAACGTCGTGATGATAACTTGTACCTGCAGTGTATAAATTCAACAGTCTAGAAACAATCAACGTGTGTGCATCGAAAGTTCGAATTCGCGACGGCACTTTATTGATATTATCATGGTCGTCGACGCTTATATCGCAATGAACAATAAAAGAACGAAACTCTGACATGAAACGCATATAACATTAGTGCATAATATTCCTTAATGCAGTGGTTTTCAACCCCGCAAAGGGGTCGCAAGTGGTTAGGGGGTCGCCAAAAACCATAAGTATCATGTTACACTGTACATCGTATCATTCAAGTTCTATTAAACGATTTTTGAAGGGGTCGTCATGAATGAAAAATAAAAAATAAAATTAGGGAGTCGCGCGATTCGTAAAAGGTCGAAAACCACTGTCTCAGTCATCACCTATAATATCCCATTATATTAAATCGTATTGAACGACGATTCCAGCATCGGGCGACAATAGGAAGTGCGGTTAATATAATATTATTGGCGGCTACCGTGACGTCATCCAGAACACGGTGTATGTACACAAACGCCGCTGCTACAGTACGCACGTGCATACAGGTAATAATTACTATGCACACGCGATTAATCATTGTGTGTCAAAGAAAAGTATTCGAATAGTATATTTAGCTGACTAATAGTAGCTGGTGATTATTAATGTACGGAGGAAAAACTGAGAACACGCGATTGTAGCAATAATTGGCAGGTATACCCACCTAAATATTATTATACTGTTGTGACTAAGGCGCCGCCGCCAGTCCTTTCGGTTTTACTGAAAAATCGAAAATCGTCCACGTGACGCGCACGCGACGTATAAAATATGTATAATAAAACATCATGACGATAATGGACAAATGCCAAATTTTTATTACACATACCTACGCGAAAGGAAAAAACCCATAATAATAATAATAATATTATACGCGATAAACTACTATACACAGAGTGATTTTATCACGAACTAACGGTTACATACGAAGATTTTTTTGAAAAATTTTCAGTCCGTCATAGTCGGCACGTAGCATCGTAAATGTAATTATCTCCTATACAAGTCCTACACAAATGGAAAATCAAAAATAGGTGTACGCATTGTTGAGGGATGTCCCAGAACGAGATTTTAGGGGAGCGTACATAAATGGATTGCGCAAGGGTGATGAAAATGAGACGATGGATTGGCTATGTTACCTTGGAATCATTATTATTATATTAGCTTAATTATCGTTTGTTTTAGTTTACCGACAATTGTTCTGTTAACTATGTACCCCTCCCCCCCTAAATATGATTCACCTGCAGCGGCATATGATATGAAATAAAAAATTCGCTATAGAAACGTTCTTATTATAAATATTTTTTTAAAATGTTAAGTAGGTACTATTATTTCGAACACCAAAACATATACAAAACAAATACATTATCCATTCTCCTTCAAACCAGATTCGACACTATAATATTCAATTTACAAATTTGAAACCAATGTTGAACTATGAATATAAGCTCGAACGATTTCGTATGAAACGTTTGAAAGAAAAACGAAACACAAATTAAATGTATTACATAAAATCCTCGTGGTAAAAAATTAATATCATCCTGTATACTACTACCATGTGTTATACGTCCACCGTAACGGTAAATTTAGCACATAAAACGCTCCGGATCGCCCGGAGGACAAATTATTATTTAATTATTGATAGTGTATATCCGTATAGATATAATATACTATTATCGGTATCGTGTTTGCGCCAAAATAATAATGAAACAAAAGTCGACCTACTTGCGCGAAAATCGGGGCTACGCGGGTTTCGGTTCCACGGCCGTTGAGTAATGAATCGAAACATCGATCGCGGACGTTTACAAACCGTGTGTTCCTAAATTCATCAGATTGGTCAACCGCTGGTTTTTTTAAGTTTCTAATTTACAATCGCTGAACAATTCATTCGCTCGAGAGGCCAGTGATTAAGCGGGTTGTTCGGCTAAAATGTGTGTTTTACTTTCAAGTTTCAACGCTATTGTTACCTAGGTTGCCTATACTACTAGTTGAACCGTGCAATAAATTCTACAGTTCTAAATTAACAATTCGTAGTCAGAAGAGGAGAAACTTTAAATCTTTAAAATGGTACCTCACCACATTTATTGATTTTAATCAAGTACAAATGTATAAAAGGGAATCGTCACAGAAAACTCACCTTTTAGTAGTATATAAGAATTTCGTTATATTCCGTATGGTTTTCGTCAAATGTCTACTTATCATATTATAAGCTCGTGATGCGTACACAATTTGGCGTGCGGACTATAGATGATGAATGGATGGTAAATGAGATGGAAATACAAAGATTCTTTTTCACTATCCAAAGACATTATGTTTGTATATTCTGAACGTGATTTTAATCAAATAATGAAATAAGTATAATGTACAAAACATTATCCATAGTATATATTAAAAAATAAATACATTTGAAACTGCTATAAAACGCCGCTAGAGAACGGTAAAATCGTGATTTATGATGTTTTCGGAATAATGGTAAATGATATAAGATTCAAATACTTGCAATTGTGTAGCCAATGGGTGACGGGTGGATGTATCTCAAATCGCAGCATAGCCAGCGTGTCCCAACGAAAAAAAAAGTGTTTCAAAACTCGCATCAGACTGCCGAGTAATCCGCTGCGTCGGCAGACGGATTTACAGGAAAATTACGCGGAAAATCGTTGAAACAGCCGGACCCCGCGCGTCGAAACTGTACGCGAGTTAATGTGCGTTTTAACGTTTATGCAACGAAGTAAGTACCCAAGGTATATGCATATATATGTACGATACGATAGTGTACTATAACATCGTAGGTGTACCGGTATACCGCGTCGTTTATAAACGATACGGACAAGGCACCGGTGGAACATTCAGAGGAACAAAATACGAACACAATACCCAAACGAATAATAACATTGCGCTTGCCGTCTAAAATGGGCAATTCGATTGCGACGTCTGTGGCCGAGCGGATCACGATATTAGAATGCCGTTTCGACACGCCGCCGATTCGCACCGAACACGTTCGAGTAGTGTGTACCTGCTGACTGTACATTATTATCGACGTACCGCCAGCCGCTAATGACCCGTTCGATTATCCGTCGTTTCGCGTCATTTTTCTGGTTCGACCCCGAAACGATTTGAACGGGGGAAAAAAAAAAATATAGTTCCGACGTTTCCTGAATTCGCCGACCCGATAAAGAACGCTATAGGCCCCGATATTTTATTTATTTTTTTTTTTTTTAACGGCCGAAATCGCGGACGGAGAATGCGGACGCACGCGAACACGCCAGTGGCGGACTTGATTCGTCTTCTAGAGAAGGGGGTGGGCAATATCCTTTTAGTTCAAAAATTATACTTTTAACTAACACGGCCAGGCCGTTAATCAGTCAATGTGATAGCACAACTATCTACAGAGGCCGTAACTATAATTATTATTAACACTCTGAACTTCTATACAAATTTTTGAAAAAAATTATTATTTATAGGTAGTTTTATATCTAGGGGTAGCATGGCCCCTATGACTCCCCTAAACGCTGCGCCTAGAACAACATCGATATGGAATATATACGAAATATCGGAATTTTCGATTCGGCGGTACCGGGTGACGACAATTATAATGATATTTCGCTGATAATTTTACACCTAGGTATGCAATTTTCTAAATAACTGCATCGCACGGCGAACCACGTGTACCTATGTATTTATTTAACGCGCCATCGCTCCATACAATATAATAACAATAATCCTATATATTTATATAATAATGCATAATAATTGTCTATACTAATATGTATACATTTTTTATTATTTTTTTTTTTTTCTACATTCTACATACTTGCGATAGTATAATATTCCCACATACACTCGCAAAACATCTACGCCATCGTCGGATCCGAATATAATATCACTATTATTATTATTATTATTTATAATATTATGATAAATCGTGATAGTGTCGGTGTTGTGGTCGGTTCGACGAACGTTGAACTTTGAACCGTCAACAATATTATAATAGGCACGAAGTCACGCGAAGCAGTGGTTAAATTTAGAAACTAAATAGGAAATTTCTTTCGACCGTAATGAGAGGTACTTTTTCATTTTTTACAGTACGTTTTTATTTGTATTCGAGCACAGAGTTTGCCATCAGTACTACTCGGGCTGTAACCGAGGCCTACTACCCCTTTATCGAAAAATACTCTTTGAAAAAAAAGAAAAAGAAAACAACCGCGAGCAGCAAAACTCCCTCACTGTAGATTTGAATACCCGCCACCCGCCTATTTTTGTATTCAAGAAATTTCCAAAAATTTAACGAAATTCGAACATAAAAATGATATGGATAGAGGTTGAAAGTTGAACGTTCTTGATTCTATAATGTAGATATTCTAACGAAATAATTACATTATCCTTGCTTCATTTAGATGGCTTATAAGTGTGTTCAATGCTAAAAAATACTCTCCTACCACAATACAATATGATAAATTACTAAATTACGTATTAAAATCAGTGAACGATTTATGGAGAAGAGGGAGCGTGTACAGTGGATGTGGACCCCCTCTCTACACCGATATAATTTCAATAAAATGTCGTTCAAAAAAGAAGTATCTATTAATTACCTTTTAATTACCTTTTATTTGTACCTTTCAAGTACATATGATTTTTCAGATCCCATCGCAGAAAAATTTTGAAAATCCACCACGTGATTGAAATCCAACCCAATTTTTATCACTTCGATTCATCGATAAAACTATACTCTAACTCTCAAGTTTGAGCTCATTTAGTCCGCGGGGAACCATTAAAACTTTTCAAAAGTAGGTTAAAAAAATAAACACAGTGCAATAGTCTCCGTTTGGGGGAATAATTCTACTAAAAGAACGAAAAATGCAATAATTATACTATAAAAATATATCGTAAACGAAACAATATTATCATAGTCTCCGGATATAGTCGCTGTATACGACACGTTATAATCACGACGACGCGTGCGATTCACTTTCTCTATCACTCGGACAGTTTATCAAAAAAAAAAAAACAAACAGATTGTGCAGTATACATGTGTGTGAGTGTGTATATATTTACGAGTTTTAAAAATAAAACCTAATAGAATTGATATCATAAAATAAAACAATGTGTTCGGCGTCTGGTGGTGACAACAGCGATTTTGTGGGCGTATTATATGGTTAAAATCGTCGTGTGCGAGCAGACTACACAGATCCAACACAATCATAATACATTTTTTTAAGTGTATCACACCACCGAGTGCCAAAGATAATTAATTCTTCCGCAGCATAGCAATACTATTCAGACCGATTTTCCTTCGATTGAGTTCGTGATAAGAACTGTGAAAACAATAGAATTCAGAGTGAAATGTTTACACAAGATCGGTCGGGTAACTTTTTAGAATTTAATTTTAGCTGATTTTTTTATATCAAATTTTCCCCAAAAATAGAGACTATTACACTATATTTTGTCTAGAGACGTAGTTAGAAATATTTGTCTGAGTAGGCCAGATAAAATAATATAAATGTTTGAATAGTAAAGATTAATACAGATTTTTGATGTCGAAATTGTGTTAATTTTCGGAGAAAAGTGGGTAGGCCCGAACCTACAGAACCTACCCACTGATTGTGTGTCCGTTATATGTATATAATATATCTTTTTTCCGATTTAAAAGGTCTTGTTATACGGGAAAAACATATTTTTGCCATATCGCTCGCAAGAAAACAGAGACGACAAATGACTCTGCGACGGTCACTTACGCGTACACTTTTTAAACTTTCGATTATAGACGTCCTTTTTGGGATTTCTATAACAATATTAGGTATATCGATTCGGGCTCGATCCGAGTTCGGCCCAAGCGGTAAGTATGTATACACGCGACTCGTCGTGACTTTTCATCGACCGTGACCTAGGGGTTATACATTTATACCTTAGAACACTTGTTTTCTTAGAGCATTATCGGATTTGGACGAATAGGCAAGTTATGTTTTCTAAAACTCCAAAAAACTTCCTAAAACTGCTAAAACCAACTCGGTTTAGTTTCAGCTCGGACCGAACTCGAATAGGATCCGTATAGATACGTATCCGGGAGCCGAACGATAAACTCGAAAATTCCGATCGATAGAATAATAATATTATTGTTATATGCGTATTTTATAGAATGATTAACGCATTTCTGACCACCGTGCATACGGTTCTAAATTGTAAATATTATACATTTTATAGTGCTTAGTAGTAATATACATATAATATGTACTACTTACACGTCTTTAATAATATACGGGTACAATAACCCCGCCGTCGTCGACCGAATTTCATAATAATTTTGTGCGCATAAAAAAAAAAAATTAAAAAAAAAAACGGTATTGAACATTTTTTTTTAAATTTATTTTTTTATTTTTTTTTTACACGCTAATGACTTTAGTTTTGTATTTACGTTCAATTAGCTGTATAATAATAATATATAAGCGTATTGGTTAACGATCGAGATAATTATACCTACGCGGTGCCGAGTCTGTATTTTTATACAAAGTCTTTGGTATATACAATACGAAAAACTTGCAACTGCGACTAGAAAGATGTCCATTAACGACGGGCTATGTATTATATTACATCATTGTATACCTATATACAGAATCCACGAGACGTATTTTACGGAATTGACATTACAAAAGATAAACTACTGTACGAGTCTCTATAATAATATAAATCTGCACGTGTACAAGATACGACTTATATATTATTATACGAGAGGGGAAAAAGCACGAGAGTATACGGAATACGAAACTCGTATGTTGTATTCGCATGATTATATGACTAAAAATTATCTCTATGTAACAAAAAAATACATTATTATTCTATAAAAAAAATGTGATAGACAACGTCTTCCGCAAATGATATATAACTACGTAAGTACACTTAAAAAAAGCACAAAGACACAAACAGGACTGCCTGCTATTACTGTGTTATGGTATTTGATATGTGAACTTGCAAATTTGGTTAAAAGTTAAAACGTTGTATTAGATTTTGAGCGAACCGATTTATTGGTTTTACTACGATATGTATATGTGTGTGTGCAAGTAATTTCTCTACCAGAAATCTTGATCCAATAATAAAAAACTTTATAGGAACTTTTTTGTAACATAATTTATTTAGTTGGTACATTGAGAAAGTCATTTTTTTTTTATTTTCCAAGTAGTTTTCTTAAAAAATTGGAAAAGTTGTAAATTTGTGTTAATTCTAGGTTACTTTGACAACAACAAAAAACTAATACAATTAATAATACTCCGTTTAGAATAGTTTTTCGTTAACAATGATGCATATCTTTGCTTACTACAGATATAAATTAAATTGTTACACATATCCTCCCTTCCATCTTCCATCCTAAAATAGTGGCATATATCTCAACAGCTTTTTATATAGTTGTATTATTTAATAACAGAAATCAATAAATAACAAAAAAATTCAATTTAAAGCGTCTCCACCCTAATACCTATAGCAATTAATCGTTGTTGTCGGGCAATTTATCTTTTAAAAAAGCATTTTTATTCCTTGTCTATGACAACCTCGCTGACAATCGAATTTAATAATAAAAACGTGTTTTTTTTTTTTTAATTCATCCGTATCGCCGAGGTAACCTAGAAATCGCCTAAAAAGTTCACGTTTTCATATTAAAATATCATTTATCACAAACATAATCACAAATCGCATACCCTTTATTGGCAACCAAGGGTGAGTAATCCATTAGAGGTTAAATTTCGAGATAAAAAATAAACCGCAACGACCTTTTTGTCGTCTTGGATGTCAAGTATGCATAGTTTCATCACAGATCGGAATAAAACTATAGATTTGTATATAACGGAAAGATAGACAGACAAACTGAATTTCAAGTTTATATATAAAATTATATTTAGAAAAAAAAACCAATATTGTTTTAGAGGTTACATAATCGTAAAATATTAGACAAATACATATATATATATATATTACCTGGATAGTTTGGATTCAACGATTTCAATTTCAAAAACCATTATTCGGCCATCCCGTCAAAAAGTAAATAAATTGATTTAAAAATAAAATTCAATTCCTAAAAGACTACCGTTTTACAAATACGTATCAACTAAGAACTGTCTCAAAAGAGTTAAAAAAAAAAAAGTTGGTTAAAAATGTATTGGTGTGTTTTGATTTTATATGCAAAATAAATTTCAAATAAATTTTTGTTTCAAAGTTCAATTAAAAAAAAAAGTACAATATATTATAAATATTAAATAATATTCAAGTTGAAATGTTTTGTTATTGAAGTTCAGGCAGTTGAAGGTAAGTTTTTAAAATACATTTTTTTTTATAATATGATCCATTTGAGTTATTTTATTAGATAAAAATTCGTCAATGATGGCCCCAACGAACTCCTGTTTTTAATGATTTAGATTTCACATTTTATTATTATATATATACGATTACACGATTTAGTGTTTTCACGACTACGAGATTTTATTTGCGTCTCAGATTGTATTTTGGTTATTATGTCAATTACTTTAAAAATATTGGGATGAACGGTATTGAATTCCTTATTGAATTTACTAAGAAACGATTCACATGCATTTGTGGTCAAAAAAGAGAAAGATAAACACTCAGTCCAAATTTCAGGAGGGAAACGACTATCTGGCATAATATAATTTTCAAAAATATATTCTATAATACCTTATCTATGTTATCGTCTTTTGGTTTGATAGCTATTATATCGTCTGTGAAACAATCCAAGACTTTTGACGGTGGTAGATAAGGAAGGCCAAACAGATATTTTAGTGTTATTCTAACTTCAAAATCTTTATTTCTATATTCTGATGCAAGTCCTACTGACCGCCAACAACAACTTTGACCTAAACAAAATAAGGAGCAGTTTGGGAATTAATCTATTTATAAAGCAGGAGCCGTTTCGGAAAAATCAAACAATAGATTGGACCGTTTGGTTGCACCGATGAATTGAGGAATGCTTCATAACCGAAAATAATAAGTATATTTATTGACAATTATTGTAAAAATTTAGTTGTAATTTTAAAATTTTTATAATACGTATTTATTTAGGTGCTAAAGATAATAATAAAAATTGACTATTGTGTAATAACGTTGTTTTAATAAAAATCGATATTTATTTAGTATTATTAAAGAACCAAAAAGTAACATAAAATAACCTATAAATAAGTAAAATAAAAATAACTCGTATAATATACGCAGGTTAATATGGCGTTAATTTTATTACATCTGTATCACCAAGGTAACCTATAAATCAACCGAAATAATTCGATTTTCGTACCAAAAATACCAATTACTCTTTTTCACCCCATCCCCCCTTTAAGAGTTGAAGTCAGGGAAACAAGTAGCCTATATGTTATTCCTGGAACTATACATCTATGCAAAGTTTCATCTCAGTCCGTTCGACAGTTGTAGGGCGAAGGGATGAAAAACATCAATCACCTATTTACATCTTTCCTAAACGTAAATTTCACAAAAATAAAAAATGCATAATATTAATAGGGTTGGATATTTAAAAATACTCGAATTTCTAATCGATGAGTACATTACTCATTAATATACATTTTTTTTTTCAAATAAAAATATTTTTAAACTTAAAAACGATTATATTTTTTCTGTGATATATTGGTGTTTTTGTTTAAATTTATAATTCACACACACACACACACACAAATATCTAGCTATTATATTAGAAAATAAATTGGTGAAACTATTTTATTTATTATTATTATTTTTTAAACAGAAACATTCTCTTGATATGACTAATTTATTTAGTTCCTTCGCGTGTACGGATGTCGGCGTAGTTTTGATACAAACGAAATTTTGAAAACACATTTAAATAACGTTGCACCTAATATGATATATATGAAGGTATGTATTTGAAATGCAAATAATAAATAATCACTCGAACCGTATAAAGGTCAAATATTATTAAAACAAAAAAAAAAAAAAACTAAACATTTAATTAAACAAAAATAATAAGAAAAAGATTCAATTTTTTAAATAACTTATAAGCAACTATAATAATATGCAGATTCGTTTTATGATCACTCGAGCAATAACGAACGATACGAGTACCCATAAATAATATTATACGGCACATCGTATTAAAACGATATGCTTTTTTTTATAACCGTCTTCATCGCATACAAATCATACCAGTACAAGTGCAAAACTTATGTATTACATCATAATGTAGAATTATTATGATATTACTCTCGTAATCGAAGCAATATTTATTATCGTAGGTAGTAAAAATACACAAAGTTTAATTAAATGGTTAAACAAAAAATAAAGTTGTATAACATAATAAACTATACATTACATTAATAACTCGAGTTAAACGTTTTTTTTTATTCAAATAAATAAAAATAATCGATAATATTCTTAATACTTGGCCAATAATTAAACCTACTTTTAGATATAATATTTCACTAAACTATCTAAGTCACTAAGTTCTCTCGTTATAAAACATGTATATACTGTTTTTTAACGAATAGTTTATAAGTATACAGTATTTCACCATAGCTCACGATTAATATTCAAATATTCATTAAGTACCTACCTATCTGACCTATTTTTGAAGTTATCTCCGGTTATCTTCAAAAATGTTTCGAAATCATAAGAAATCATGGGAAATCTGCAATCTAGTGAACATTAATTTGTTTACCTTTTTATGTCCAACATACCTATAGTACTGCCGCATTCAATATCATCGTTAGGTACCATATACTGACTATTAATTTGTTTATCAAAATAATTACAATATGCAAAGCGTTTCTGATATAAATGAGGAAACTTTAAATATCGTACCTATACTGGGTTGGGGCGTCATGAATGACGACGGTTTTATAAATGCTCGAAAATTTGACGTGAAGGTACCCGCACAAGTTACTCGTACGATAAAATACAAACATCGAAAATCCATAGTCGGGATTTGTTTAATAATAATAATAATAAGTTAAATCGCCATCACAAGAGCAAGAATTGGGCATACTTTCTTAAAATCCACTCATATCTCATTAGTAAAGATTCACCATCCATACACAACAAATGCCTAGTTTCCCTAACTATCAAACATATCACACAAGAATGTCCAGAATTCCAAAATGCAAGAAATACCTTACTAATACCGAACAAACAAGAAGCTCTCAATGAAGACAACACCTCAAAAATGTTTCTAACTAAAATTTATATTGTAAATAACTTTGAATAACATTATTAACCAATATGTGTCATGTTAAAAAAAGAACTTTAATAATATACTACTTTAATTTTTGTTTAATGTACCCAAGGCTAATAACCTAATAACCTTAGATGTTGAAGCTTAATAATAATAATAATAATAAAAAAAATAAAGTTTCAATTTGTAGGATACAATTTGAAACAATCACGGCCATTTCGAGTACTAATACTCGTGCAAGTCCCGTGTAAGTATGCGAATAAAACTTTTTGGGCTTCATTAAAACGATCGAAAATTCGGTGTACAAGTTTCATAAAAAATATACCCGGGGACGAGCATTTTATTCGATAATTTCCCGGTATAAAACGGGGAAACTCGTTATGGCACCTAGTATACATTCTCCTCATTTACTGTACGGTTTCCTCGTTGGTTTCGGAAACGCCCCGTGTGAAGTAAACCGATTTTTTTTTTTTTTTGAAAATACCTACCGAATATTCGTGATAATCACAGTTTACACTAGAGTTTTCATTGCAATAGCGGTCGTATAATAATTTATAAGTAAGTACCGTATCTTGTACACATTTTAATACCTTACCTGTGTAGTATAGGTGTATACTGTACATTATTATTTTTTTTCTAAAACCGCCGCGCTAATTAAACGGAACGAGCGTCTACATAAATATTCATTAACGTTTTTTAGACGGTAGAGGAAACGGGAATCTAGATAGGTGTTTTTCTTTTTTTATGTATACATAAAGGTACTTACCGTGCAAGGAAATCGTCCGTAATGATGATTAACGAACATGAATACGACGCACCCGAGTAATTATCATTATTGTTTGAATAATAATTATCGAATAATATTCGCGATTATACATCTGTACAGTCGTACGAATAACGGGGGGAGGGGGAGAGAACTGAAAGAATCCATTAAGACAAATGACTCACGCAAAAAATCGGCACGGACCAAAAAAAAAAAACTATTATAAAATATTATGTCTTATTGAGAGTCGTGCGCAATACATTAATATGCCCGATATACAGGTAGGTTAGGACGTAACTAATAGGCAATACTATTATACCTATCTGTATAACCACGCATAATAATTAATTAGAAAATGTGCAACATAGTATTATAAGTAAGCATAGCAAGGTAACCTGTATCTGAAAAAAAAAAAAGAAGAAAACTATGACCTTTCCTCGTCGGTGCGCGCATAATAATTAATAACAGATAAATAAAACTTAAGTATATTTTGTTATTTTGTACCCGAAGATTATCGTAACGTGCACGTACAAAACGCTTAAATGTCATGTTATTGCACGGCGAAAATTCGATCGGACACGCACGATATTATCGTATCAATCGAAATTATCGTATTGTTATTGTGATTATTGATGTTGGTCACGTGCGTCCGCGCGGAGATTTTTCAAACGGCGCGTCCGGTTTCGGTTCGAAGTTTACCGATATTGGTTTACGTACTTGTATAAAATGTCGCGTCGGATTTCCGAAAAACCGGTCGAAAGTTATTTCCGATTGTACATATTCGTCCAGCGTTGTTATTATACTGATACCGCATTCGGTATATTAATACGCCCGCGGCCAAATATTTAACCGCGGGTACGATCTATACCTGTAATACGTACACCGGAGTTATCTATTTATTGGACATCTTCGGGCAGCCGGAAATCGAAATATGGCTGCGTAAAAGTCACGAATGTAAAAATAGGGAAATTCGGTAAAAACCGACGATTCCCGGCCCGGTGTGTTATCGACAATATTGTGGAATTTCGATATTATTCAATTTTTCGAAACGACTCTATACGTTGCGTCCGGGGGTAGAGGGGGTGGAAATTCGGAACATAAACGTCGCACTTGTCGCAAACGTCGCGGAGCGACAAAACCGGAAGTTTGTGCGCAAACGCAGAAACGACAGTTTTCCGGATTGTTCGCGATTTTGCACGCCGAGCACCGCAGTATAATAATAATAACCAATCGCGCGTCGTTCCGTTTAAATGTCAGTTTCCTGATTCGTGCCCCTATAGACTACGGCCGATGACGCGCGTCAAATGCCAAATGCCGAACGGTTAACAACAATGAATGAAAAACGACGAGCGCGTGCAAAAATAATCGTTATCTCTGGCAACCCTCGTCTTTTAGGGTGAAGGCCGGGCCGAACACGCCCTCGCGCCGCGACTGATATCAACACTCACGCGATTTTCGGGCGATGATCGTGGAAAGCCGCGCGCAGCCCAATGAAAACCATTGCTTTTGGCGCTAAACGGGCAATAATACGAACTATTTTCTTATTGGCGAGACATTATTATTTCGGAACGGAAACGCAAACGGGGAATCACCGGAGAGCGGAAACCCAAACATAAATAGGTGTCCTACCTGCTGACGATGATGATGATAGTAACAATAATAATAATAACAATAATATCCCGAGATCTGAGCGATATTTTTATACTCACTTTTTGAACGTCGCTTCGTACTCGTTGATCTGTTTTCGCGAAAACTCTTTGAATTCGAGGAACACGTTTTTGGAGGACGCCCGCCTATTAAACTGCCGCGGCACCGGTTTGCCGTCCTCCAGCGCCTCGTTGATCTTTTGCCGCCTGCTGAGCACGGCCGACAGTTCGTCGCCGTCCGTGGCCCCGCTGGACGACGTGGTGGAAGACGCCGACGAAATCGAAGCGTTGTCCATCGTCAGGCGCGCGTTCTTCGGTTCGCGGAAATACGGCGAAAGATTTTGTTATTATTGCGTAGGTACGCACGAAAACGGAAAAGTGTCGAGACTTAAAAATACGCTGGACTCGTGGAATAAGAAAAAAAAAGCTCGGGAAATTTGTCCGCCGGGCAATGTAAAATTAATTGCCTGTGTAGTAGGTTCCTACTACAAATCAAGGTAATATTCGACTACCGAATATTATTATCGTTATCGTTCACCACGGTGCGTCACAGTCACGCGTCGTTACAAACGTCGACGTCGGGGAATCGCGCGCGCGCACAGAACTAGTCGGACGACCGTGTCGTACTGCGTGCCGGTGCCGTTCTACACTCGGCAAATCTGCGTTGGTCCGTCCGGCGTCCGCGTCTGACGGCCGCGCGTTCGGTCGCCCCGTCGTTTTCGCACGGCCGGTGGCTGTGCGGCGGCGCCTGAACGATGCGCGTGCGTGCGTACGCCCCGGCAACACGCGGCGGCGTAACGATGATATCATACCGATCGGCGGTGTCTCGTGCCCAGTCAATAGGTCGCGCATGCGCCACGCCGCGCGGTCGCCGGCCGTTCATCCCTCCGCGCGCCGCGTTTGAAGTACACCCACCCGGTGTGGAGTGCTCGATATCATTATTGCCGTTAATACCGTAACATAATAATTAATCGATTAGGTATTATCGACAATAAGTATTATCACGTTATTATTGTGTATTCCTTCCGGTTCGTGCCGCCACGCCGTCCGAGAGCCAATACCATCGCGTTAGCCGTCGCGAGATTCTTCAATTCTATACGCGTTTAAATCCGCTGTAGTCGCCCGTTTTAAAAACAAACACACCGGTCCTGCTCCTCGCACCACATTCGCATTTCCCGTCGTCTTTTATTCTCCCCGTTTAATTACTCGCCGTCTCGGTCCGTGTAACTTATTTAGCGCCTTCCGCGTAGACCATATACACGTTAATAGACGACTTCCTGTCCCCGGCGGTATTTCGGCAACGTTTCTTTCGGATCGTTCCACATTTTGTAAACAACTGTGCTCTTTCATCCGTTCCTTCCACAAGCCCATATGGGCGATGCTCGTGACGATCGTTGTCTTCGGAAAGTTTTTCCTCGGCCGTAAGTCGGCCTACCCGCACGAGGCCGGCCTGCATCTCCGTCCAAGACGGATGCCTCATATATCCGATTAGAATGATTCGCGTATTGTTTTCTCTAATATACTGCAGCGATGCGCGTCGTAACCGAATAGTTACCATTGAATTGTATTCGATAATATTGTCGATCGCGTTCGAACTGTTCGATAAATTGAAAACAATAGGTACGAATAGTCTTTCGAAACACACACCTGTATTCGAATAGTTTTTTTCCGAATAAAAGTATTCGGTCGTGGAAAATAAGATAAGTATTCGATAGTTCATCGAAAACTGCCGAATGATATGCCGCGACCCACAAACAAACACCACAGGTATAGTAAAAATTAGTATCTAATTGAAAATATTCGATGAAAAATCGATTGCTGCGACGTTTTCGTATAATAGACACAATAAAAAATTAAAAATTCGAGGTGCCGCCCCCATAATATTGGATAATAATGATAATAATATTGATAATTTGGCACGTACGCGACGTTTCTGTACCTACGATTATTATTCGACTCGTTACCTAACATATTTTCGAGCCGATATTTCATTATACGGGCATAATACCACCTGTACTACCGATTACAGTATTGCACGTGAATTCGTGAATACGCAGGACGATCCCTATCCTATATAGAAAGAAAAAAAAAACTCGAACACGAGATCTCCGTCATTGTTATAATAATACGTACCTGTATACGATTGCCCAATAAAATATAAAATAATCATTTCGTAATAGGTAATAATATGTCCCGTCAGATTCTTCCTTCTACATACAAATATAATGCGAGTATATACCTGCAGGTCGGGCTGTACCAGTAATTTGCGAAATATTTGGATCGTTCTGAAAAAAAAAAAAATATTTGTACATTATAACAACAATAGATGTCAGTTGAATGCTCTGTATACGCTGTATATCTTCTTTTTTTTTTTATATAAGCTTTTCGAGATTTTTACGATATTCCGGAAATCGATTTGCACGCCATTATTCTCATTCTTCTCCACATAATATTCTGTACGCCATCTAAATTTCCATTTCAATCCGGTTTTATTGTCAGTTCTGTCGGATATTAGCTTTCTATACCTTCCATGAGATTTCCGAGGGATGTATACCTAAAGAATTATTTAGGTATACCAATCAGAAGAGCAAAAAAAAAAAAATTTCCATTACATTAATGTTTTATGGGAGAGAACTACAAATATCGCTGATCGTCGTCGATCGACAATAGTTGTGTTTTATTTAATTTTAACAAAACGTGTACACTTTTTCACATTAGTTTCACATTATTACAGTGTCGAACCTACTCATTTGATACTGTGAATTTAGTGTATTAATTGTCAATAGTGTGCATTTTTGAAAAAATAATAAAATAGCTGAACCTCTTGATGTACCACTATTATAGGAGAGAAGTTGGTGAAGTGGGATACATAAAGTTATTTAATTCATATCTATAAGCAAAGATAATCCATTGCTAACTGAATACAATTCTGATCAAAATTCAGTTATATAAGTTTTGAAATGTTGTAATATTTACGATTTTCTTCAAAATTTGATTTTAAAACGATTATAAATTTAAAAAACTATTACATTATGCTTAATTTGTTTTTACCACTAAGTATAACTTATAATGAATCTTGTGTTAAATTTTTAAACATTTCTGTTTGGTAAAATATAAGTTCTATGATATATACATAAAAAGGTCTGGACAAATAGTCCAAAAATATTTTCTGAATATTTTGAAGTGAATTACAACAAAAACAAAAGAATTTAAAACAATTATGCAATCATTATTTCTAAAAACTTTCTAGTTCTTTCTACGGTTTTCACCGATTTTGTTTAATTTAACTACATTGAAATCAAAAAAAAAAAAATAACTTTTTTACTCACAAACTAAATTAAAAGTGTATCAAAAATATCTCGTTGGAACATTTTTTCATTGGTTCTAAGATTTTTAGTAGAAAACAAACCATATAAATTTAAAATAAAAAAATAGAAACGCCGTATATTTATCAGTTTTCATTTTACGTCTTTTTCCGATTTTCCCAATTGTTAAAAAAACTGCTTGGAAAATCAAAATACGAAAAAAAAACGTAGGTACACTCTTATTGTTTTTCGATTGGAACAATATTTCTGATAGAAAACCTAAACCGTAAAAATTTAAAACAACGTAATCGGTAATGCCGCGACCGTAAATATTTGTCCATTTTTCCTATAATTTTGTTTTCAGTTTTTCCCAATAGTTTTGAAAAATTCCTTGGAAAATTAAATCAATAAAGGACCTTTCTAATGCCCCAACTAGAATTTCAAAACATATCTCTTGTACCGTTATTCGATCGGAGCAAGGTTTCTGGTCGAAAAGTTGTTTACGGACGGAAAAAAATAATTACATACACACACACATCACATAGTAAAACCAATAGATCCCCCGCTACGCTCAGAATCTAAAACGAAAATTATATCAGTGGTGGTCTCGCGCTATAAGACGCGATGGTGCAATCGCACTACCTACGTAAATATTGAAACCTGATGCAATTTACAATGATAATTGTCAATTATTATACTTGTTATAGTAAAATGGTAAATGTATCGATTTATTAAACACGTATAGGATACCAGTAATACCGTGTCGAGTTATAATGGTTTGGTCGATATATATACTTTGGTCGGACCCACAACAACCTCGTTACATAATATACGAATAGATATTATACAGTAAAAGTGTATATGTATTTTGTATACTGATGCACTAATGCACTAATACGACGCCGTATGTAAATTATAAATATTTACGTAGACTAGGAAAAAAATAAAATCTACTTTTAAATTAATTTACGAGTGGGTGGCCGCGTATATACGCGTATATCTTAAAATGCACAAAACCCACGACGAAATGGATTGGGCGCCGTATTGATTCGTAAATAAATTAATGCATATGATACCGACATGAAATATTATACACTACAACGTAACAATGTAAGCTCTATTAGGTATTTTAAAAATTATTTGGTGTAATATAATACGACGTAGTGTATGAATGTATATGTGTTTTTAAAATTTAATATTCTCGTATTGAAAGCCGTATAAAAAATTGACTTAAGCCCTTCTTCTTCGGAACTGAAGAAGTACCGTTTCTAAACTTCCGGGGAGATCGAATCCTCAACCTCCTCTCCTAAATACGTGTCTACTGAATTATAATAATCCTACCTAAATTGCACTTATAAATATCTGTTTTTCGTAACAGGAAATAATATATTAACAACTTAATATTGTATGATGCCCACCACACAATTCGCAGTAACCTATAACTATGTGACCACAACCTGCCGCATTATAATATATTATGTTAATCGTTTAGAAATTTAAAAATGTCAAAATGTAAGGTTTATCAGGTCAAAAATACGGAAATCGAATTATACTGTTATCGTTGACTTTGACGATTTCATTCCTTTCCATCATCAAATATATACATCACTTGTTTAAATGTATTCGATAAATACTTTTCTAAGGTATCCTTTTATTATATTATATAGCTACTAACCTATTAATATTCTAACTTTTTACTTAAATCATAACAGTCTAATTGACTAATTCTATAATATAGTTAGTTGGTAGTTATTACTTATTACGACTTCTGCAAAAAGCGCACTGACATTGTAAAATATTTATACGGTTTCAATTTTCAATTAACCAATCTACATTAATTAAGCATTTAAAAAGTTTTGCTGTATTCAATATTTAAATTGAAAATATTTTGTGAAACTATTTTCAAGACAATTTCAACCAAATCGTTTCTTAATTTTAGACAAAAGTTATAGAAAAATAAATGTATTTTATTTAAAATTATGTAAATTATATTTAATTACACCTATACGGCCAGGCGCGTGTACAAGGGGAGGTTTTAGGGGTTTAACCCCTCCCCAAAATTTCATGACAATTATGATAAAAGTAGATTTTTAATAGAGTCTCAAAATTGGTTTCTATCAATTAGGAAGATAATTACAATTTTGGTTTTATTTTTATTTTATTACTAGATATATAATAGGTATATATTGTTATTATTATCATACTTTAGTATGAACTACGTTATAATTTAGGTTGTATTCACTAAAACAATATTAAGTGTAAAATTTAGTAATAGTTACCTAACAGGCTAAAAAGTTGTCTTAGGATAATGGGAACGAGTGCAGCCACTGTTATAGGTAATTTTTAATGTATATCTGTAAGAAACGATTAACCATTGCTAACGAAAAAAACGATTCTGAAAGAAGTTCGGTTAACAGTATTGCTTTGTCAACAATATATATATATATATGTATATGTCTTATTAGAGTAAAATAATTATATAAGCATTATATATTTTCTTTAATAATATTTGTGTAATATGCTGAACCTATTTTCTCGATTTTCGTGTTTTTTCCGGTTTTTCCCATTAATTGGAAAAATTCTTGGGAAAATCAAAAAAAAAATACTACCCAAAGTAAAACCTCAGTCAAATTTTCTTTCAAAGAAGTGCTATTATTATAAATCAGAGCAAAATTTCTGGTAGAAAAGTTGTCCACAGGAAAACAGAAGGTCATAATATTTTTAGCTAATACCTAAATTTCTTACATTTTCCCGCTTTTTCTCCGTTTTTTTCGGTTTATTACATTTTAATGATAAACATCGTTGTAAAACCAATACATTCCTCCCTCCACTCAGAATCTAAAATTAATGATATAAAATATTGACATTTTTAATGAAAAATATATAACCCTACGATTGAATATATGTAAACATTTTTGTTATAAGAGCATGAAAATGTACAACCTTAACCACCCCCCCTGAAATATTTGTTTGTAAACGCATCTGTATACAGCTACCTATACACTTTAATGGAACAATAAATGCAGGCAATATACATTATGAGGACGTCTACCGAAAAATTTATAAATTTATCATTTTCTAATTATGATAAAATCAATACTAGACAATGTTATTACATTGTCTAGTATTGATTAATTAGTATATATCTATATATTATCAGCAAATTAATAAGAAG